TTCGAGCCATTCCTCGCCCCAAGGGTGGATAGAGGCGCTTCCATGCAACGGATCGCAAACAAGTCTAAGGGCCCGGTTTGGCTTCACAGCCGCGGAGATGCCCAGCAGACCAACAACAGACGCGCGCGCTGGTAACAGCGCCGCGTGCATGAATGCTATGCGAGCAAGGACGCCCGTAGGCACCCTGCCACCGTCCTTGATCCAGACTCTCATCCTCATCAGATCTCGCCTGGCCGTTACATCGTTATCCATGCCCGTCACAACTGAAGATGCATCCGACGAAGCTCAGTCTCAGGAGGATGCCCGGAACCACAGCCGTCTTCGTGAGTTCTTCGAACGTTACGATGCGACTGAATGCTCACATTCACCAGATATCAGCGGCACGCTGAAGGAGAACGCACAAGGAGCTGTCAGGAACACTATCGAGCTCCTGAGCATCGCTGCACAGATGACGCAGAGTGTGCCGTATCTGGGTGCGATCACAACCGCGCTGACGGAGTTCATGAAGATACAGGACGTATGTCTGCGACCGGTCGAGTACGACGCACCGTCCGTTGACTGATGTCTGCTCACCTGTAGGAGGTTGACCAATGCAAGGACGAGTGCACAGAGGCTATGGACGATGCTGAGCAGATCAACGCTCTGATCGAGAAGTTTCACGAGAGATGCGACGCATCAGGGAGAGGCGGCGGCCTGTTGAACCAGACGCTGCGTGAAGCGTTCACGGAGCTAGAAAGGTGCGTATTCATTTCTTACTCGGCACACGCGCCCTAACGTGAAGAGCCAGTGTCGTACTGAGATGCGTTGTGACGCTCGAGAAGTGCAAGACCGGTTCGAAACGCAAGAGGGACCGTCTGCGTCTTTACTGGAAGCGCGCTGAGCTCCTGAAGTCCGTGAAGGGATGTGCTTCGGACATGCGCAAAGCGCTGGATCGTTTAGATGTAGGTTCTTGCGACATACGTCCATATCGACCCTATCTGACGTTCCTTCAGCGAACGCTCAATCTTGCCACAGCTTTAACGCTCGACGGCATAGATGTCAAGATGGATGAACTGCATACCATGCTACAGTCTTCTGGTCTACCCCAAGCTACTATGGCAGCGCAGAAGTACGTGGACGAGTTCTAAATGAGATTGTATGCGCTGACTGGTGACAATCTAGTTCTACATGGCGGTTGCGCGCTGCCAACGCCATCTTCTACGGCCGCGCCTTTGAGGTAGAGAGCGCTGTGGATCTGATCGTCAACAAGGGACCTGCACGAGTGGCTATCTTGGGTCTCGGTGGTATCGGAAAGACCTCTATTGCCCTAGCAGTACTTCACAACTCGTCGGTGAAAGCACTCTATGGAGAGCGGCGTTGTTTCATGTCGTGTGAGGCATCTACGACTGCGGATGCAGTCGTACGTGGCCTAGCAGATGCGGTCAACTTCAATCTCGGAAAAGACATGTCACCTGAAGCTGCCCGTCAATATCTACTCCTCCGTCTGAATGCGGCCCCTGGAATCATATGCCTTGATAACCTAGAAACGCCTCTGGATGTTGACAAGCCTGCGGTGGAGGAACTATTGAACGAGATCGCCGCACTTGAGTCAGTCGCTTTGTTGATCACAAGCCGTGATACGAGCATACCCACCATCAAGTGGACGTCGCCTCCACTGGCGCACATCAAGCCATTCTCGCAGGAAGCCGCTCTCGCTACCTGGGATGATATATGCGGCGACCACGACGAGTACGCCCTCAGACTTGTCAAAACGGTAGATTGCATGCCGTTGGCAGTCAACCTCCTCGCGCGCTTGGCTACCATTGAAGGAAGCGCCAAAAGCATCTGGGCTCGTTGGGAGACCGAGCACACCGACCTCATACGCACTAGTGACGAAGATCACCGACTCTACAGCGTGGGTGCATCCATAGAGCTGTCCCTAAACGCTCTCAGCTTTCGCGAAGAGACCATCATTGTTCTTGCTTTCATCTGTATCTTCCCTTCCGGTATCGAGGAATCGACACTCTCGATATTGGACGATGTTCTGGTGGACGCTGGCCAGCGTGTTCCACGTGCCATCACCACTCTGAAGAAGCACTCTCTGATCCATACGGAGGCTCTTCGATGGACACACGATGAACGGAGGCTCGTCGTCCTATCTCCCATTCGCCACTACATACGGCAACATCATGTACCAGACGATGTATTCCTTGCCTTCGCCGATGCACTGGAGAATCAAGGGACGGGGGTTACCCATGTCCTTGTGGACTTCGGCATGGACCGTCAAGGGCCATGTCGCGAACGCTGCCTTGACATGGTTATCGCGTCTCCGTATACGACCCGCGACGTCAGAGTGCTATCCCTAGCATACGAGAAGTCGCGCGCGCTTGCGCTTGAACCGCGAATACAGTCAGCGCTCCTCGGACGATTGGGATTTGCGCTATCGGCGTTTGAACGCGATTACGACAACGCCCGTTCCACGTACCTAGCGACCATCCAGATCGACGAGCAGCTGGGAGACCGCGGCGCTATGTTTGCGCGCTGGGTACAGTGGCTTGGTACCTATGTCTCCCAGTTTAGGGGTCGCGAAGATGAATGCGAGCAACTTGACGACATGCAGAACACCATTCAGACAGCCTGGGAACTCGGTCACGCCGCCATTTGGAACGATCCAGGCACGTCAGGTCCTTCGTGGAATGACTATGAGGAACTGGCTGAAGTGCAACACTTTGTCAACGAAGGACGGCGGGCGCAGGGCTTGCATATCGTTTATAGAAGCGGGCTATACTCCGACCACTCGTCGACTGACCGACTTCACGGTCGAGTTTACCCTGTTTTTAGGAGAGATCAAGCTAGGGAATGTTATAATGAGTTATTCAAGGTGTCATCTCCACCATGGGACCTCGATCTTATACTCGAAACGCATCGGAGGCTAGGCCATGTGAATACGGGAGACCAAAGAAGTGAGATAGTCACGGTGGGGTCAGAGGATGAGAAGAAAGATGAGGACGACTGGGAGGTGGGGAGAGAAGAAGAGGGAGAACAAAGCGATGCCGACAACGGGGAAAGTTGTCAAGCGGAGGATGAGGACTTGAGGCTCGAGGAGGGGAGCGTTGATCATGACGAGGAGAAGAGCAGCATAATTCGTCACCGGTCAAGCCTGTTCGAGGTCTCGTTAGGATAGTGTACCCAGTAATTCACATATGCCAGGTCGGCATGCGTTGATGAGCAAAGCCCCGCTGCATTCTCAAGCGAGGACTCCGCCCTGAATATTTGAATACTGGTACGACGCGCGGCACCGCGCGCTTTTAATTTGGGAAACATCACCGCGCTCGACCGTCGACGCGGCGACGCGCCGCTTTTCAAAAGTTCAACTCTCCCACGACGCCAACAAGACAGGAAAGGTAGCGCAACCTTCATACTGTAAGAGATGGAAGCGTTTGACATCCGCGCGACGGGACTTGGAAGAGACGTCGCGCTGTGTCGCGCTGTGTCGAAAGCCTGGGAAACGCCGGCCCGGAAGGTCCGGGCAAAACGCCCGCGAAGAGCCTCGCGGCTCGGGGGCACGGGGACAGTTGGACAAACCCGTTGCTGAGCAGCAGTAGCCAGGTGTGACCTGGGAGTATAGAACTGTGCCTCGGGCCTGTGGGTCTTACAGCTAATCAAGAATCGATAGGCCACCGCGCGAGGAGGGGTCATTCGTCTCGGCCTGCCTTATTCGGGCATGAGGCTGTGCAGGCGCGGCCGGTCGTAGGACATCCGTTCGCTCGTCGTCCCGGTTATGTCTCTGCTGGGCCTCGTAATGATGGCTCAGCGGGCCTTTACGCGTAGAAACGGTGCATTAGACAACGCTCAGACAAGACGGTGCTGAAGGAGAGCACATATGTTCGCATAAGTCGTTGTCTGCGAGCGCGGGGACGCTTGCGCAGCGCGGCCGCGGCTTGCGGCGATCTCACACCTGTACCATATAAGGTAAGCCAAGCGTGAGGCTCCACAAGGCCCCCTCCTCGCGCAACGGCCTATCGATTCTTGATTAGCTGTAAGAGGCGACGGAAGAGTGCAGATCTGCAGCCATCGTCAGAGCGGCAGCCATGAGGCGATCCTGCGGACTTCGTCCTGAGCCTAAATTCACCTGCATGAACGTGCCAATAAATTCAGCAATGACCGCAATACGCGCTAGCCATTTATCCGTTCGAGCGTTCGAAGTGACAAGGTCGCACGCAAGTTAACCACTATAGCTAGCGCGGGCAGTTCACTCGTCCGTCGACCACCTTTCATGCGTAAGATATCCAGAGCCATAGTTGCCATACATCATGCATAAGGGGCGTGCGACATTGATACAAACAGAAAGAGAAGCATGAGCATGACTAGCGGGGGTGGTGGGTGGAGGGCAGGCAGCGCGAAAGAACAAGAGTACACCAGCAGAAACGACTACTTTTGGGAAAGCGCTCATGCGGTCTTCTTGTGCGAGGCCTTGATGGCGGCGACTTTCTCCTTCTTCTCGGCGACGCGCTTGGCGATGAGGGCGTCGTACTCGGCCTTCTGCTCCTTCTGGTGCTCGATCTTGCGGGCCTTGATGGCGTGCAAGTGGCGGCGGCGCTGGAGACGCTGGGGCGTGACGAGGCGCTGGATTTTGGGGCTATCCAGATATAATCAGTATACAAGTTGAAAATGGTAGTAGAGACAACACGTACGCCTTGTAGTAAGGCTTGGCGCCCTCCTTCTTCTTGCTCGTGACCTCGCGGCGAACGACGTACTTGCGCACGTCATCCTCCTTGGTGAGGTTGAAGAAACGACGGATCTTCGTCGCGCGCTTCGGGCCGAGGCGCTTGGGCAGGACATTGTCCGTCAAGCCGGGAATATCCTGCTCGCCCTGCTTAACGATAACAAGGGCAAGCGCGGCAATGTCCGGGCCGACGATGCAGCCGCGGACCGACTTGCGGCGGCGCTCACCGGCGCGGCGGGTGCGGTAGCACGAGTGGCCGTCGGAGAGGAGAAGGCGGACACGGTAGGGCACGAGGACACCCTGCTTCATCGGGAAACCCTGCTTGTCGTTGCCACCCGTGATCCTGAGAACGTAGCCCTTCCACTCGTCGCCGAGCCCGTCAGCGGCGACCTCCTGCGACATGCGCTTCTCGTAGAAGATACGGCTATATGTTATATGTTATAAGTCGAGTATATGTCATATGTTAGGAAGATACGCACTAGCGACGCTCATCGTCAATGTCGAACGTTTTCTGCTCCCCGGTCGCGGGGTCTGGCTACCAGTCAGCATTTCCTCCTCCAGCGCCCAATTCTCTCGAAAAACGCACTCGCGATGTTAAGCTTCATCTTCTAATAAACAATCAGCATTTCGCCCTCATACAACATATATTCTACAAAACGCACGATGGAATGGAAGGAGCGACTCGGTCACCGGCGGCGACAGCGACAGCGACAAAGACGGCGGCGGGAATAGACTTGCGGAACGGCGCGCACGACGACCAAACAGAAACACGCAAGGCCGCCATCGATTCCTGGCCCTAACCCTAGCGCCCTTCGCTGGTTGATTTGCCAGTTCTCACGCGCTGCCCATCACGGCAACCGCCGAATGCGAATCCGCGCACGCGTCTCGACGTCCATCTCCGTTTCCTCTTTCCGAGCTCATCGCGCCCGACGCCCTCAAGACCCCACCCTTCCCTCCTTCACCCCCTCAAAAGATCTGTACGTATCTTCGTATTGTATATAGGGTGTAAAAATGCTGAAAATATACAGAAACCATGGGTCGCATGCACGCACCTGGCAAGGGCATTTGTACGTTCACGCGTCTGTGCACCTGTTCTACGCGCTGAGACTGCCCTCAAAAGCGTCCTCCGCCCTTCCCTACCGCCGCACGCCTCCCTCGTGGCTCAAGACGAGCCCGGAGGACGTTGTCGACCAGATCGCAAAGCTCGCCCGCAAGGGTCTCACGCCCTCCCAGATCGGCGTCACCCTCCGTGACTCGCACGGCATCCCCCAGGTCCGCTTCGTCACCGGTAACAAGATCTTGCGTATCTTGAAGAGCAACGGTGCGCGTCTATCAAGTGTGTGGTTTGACAGTTGGCTGACTTAGGTCCGTTTCGGGAAAGGTCTTGCGCCTTCGATCCCGGAGGATCTCTGGCACCTCGTCAAGAAGGCCGTCGCCGTCCGCAAGCACCTCGAGACTAACCGCAAGGACAAGGACTCCAAGTTCCGTCTTATTCTCATCGAGTCGCGCATTCATCGTCTTGCCCGCTACTACAAGACCAAGCAGCAGATCCCGCCGTCGTTCAAGTACGACTCGGCGACTGCTTCTACTCTCATCGCCTAAGCGCGGTGTACTTCTCAGGGGGAGGGCGGTCTGCGATGTATGCTACTCGGTGTCTCGTCTTACTTGATGTCTACTATGCAATATAGGCCCATGCTCGACATGCCTTCTCGTCGCATGAAAATCTTGAGATACAACTGTGTCATACATTAACACTCGCACACACGGTATACGATGCGCGGCACACATCGGTACTGAGGAACAACCATGACGGATGACGTGCGCCATTCGGGCCCAGGAGGCAGCTCGGACGCTTGTCGTGGCTGTCAATTCCTGCATTTGCTCTCTCGCGCACACGACGCGTAGTCGCCCACCAACGGTTTATACTACATTCATCCTAGGCGTCACACCCCATGACTCAGTGCATGATCTGGTTCTACCGCACATGCAAACGTGGAAGTGAAAGAATTACAACGCCTGAGATTAGCCAGAGGAAACTGTTTCCGCGTCATATTGCGTGAACTCGCAGTCGGTGCGTTCGGCGTTCCCGGGCCTGAGCGCCGGTTGCTCACGGACCTGCACTCAGCGCACGCGCGCGCTCAGACTCTCATCCTCCTCAGACCTCTCCTCGCTTTCTCCCTCGCTGTCATCGGCCTCGTCCACATCACTCTCCGGGTCTTCTACCACCTCTCCCTCCGCCTCTCGAGACTCCCATTCTGACCCGCTAGGCGACGTCTTCAACCAAATGCGGTGCCCGAGTGCCCGATGTGTTCCGAGTATAAAGGTTAGGTCCCATGGCGGAGGGGACGTCTGCAGCAATCGCTCGAAACATTCGATCCCTTCATTGTACAATGAGTGTAGGTCATCGGTTGAGTCCTTATTCGAATAGAGACCGCTGCGATAGATGATGGGCATATCGAGCTTGCGCCGCCCGACATTGACCATATGTTGTGCTTGGGCTACTACGTTATGATCCCTGTATCGCTCGTCGGAGTCTTGTACGACCCATGCTTGTGATTTCTGACCGAAGTCCCAGGTCGTCAGTATGGCTTCTTGCAACTCCTCTAGATCCTCCCCTACTACTTCTCTACCACGAAGCTCGCCGACACGAGAATCAAGCCACCCCACCCAGTCTAAGTACAGTGCTGTGTTATCTTCGAGCTGCTTATCCATCTGGATAGCCTCTGAATATAGTGCCCGTGCATCCTCAAAGTCGTCGATTTGTTTGATGTATCCTAGACGGCGAAGAATGCCAGATTGCAGTCGTAGCTCAAGTGAACGAGACTTTGCAAATGCAAGAGCTTGGGAGAGCACGGCACTATCGTATATTTCGGATGAATTGGAGATCGCTACTTCCAGGCAGCGATCGCGACAAGACCCTGGGCGATCCAGAACAAATGCCCAGAACGACGAGTTATCCCACCCGTAGGAGTCTCGTGCCACAAGATTGGCCATCGTGATAATGAGATCATCCGATATGCAGTGTTGTAGAATGTGGTGACGGATGGGTGAGAGGGCGCAAAACCTGACACCCTGCCCAAATGGATCCTCGGTGTAGATGAGACTGAGCTGCCTGAGTTCCGTCAGGTAATAGTCGACAGACATCGGATGATCCTTGAAAGCGTCTTCCAATTCGGGAATACACCAATACCAGAATCCCTCTGGGAAGATGCAAACGACACAGAGAATCTTGATAGCTGCCTCTCGGTCACGCAGAGCCCGAAGTGATAGCTCTATTGACTCCGCAACACTGTGTAAGCGGTGGCTCCCTCGGCCGCTGCGTATAAGGTCGGTATACTCCTTCTCCCAACGATCCGAAATCCTCTTGGCACTCCCGTCGACGGTGACCAAGCGCGCAAGCAAGGTGACCGCCAATGGCATACGGTCGACCGCGTCGACAAGTCGGGCGGCGTATTCGTCGTGCCCGCTGCAAATCTCATCCCAGGTAGTGAGGGCAGCACCCTGGGAGAAGGGTTGAATGTGGGGAAGGGGAGGCGACGTCCACTTGATAGTGGGGATGCTCGTATCGCGACTAGTGATTAACAGAGCAATGGATTCGAGTGCAGCAATCTCGTTCAATAGTTCTTCGAGCGCCGCTTTATCGGAATCTAGAGGTGTTTCCAAGTTATCCAGACAGACGATCCCAGAGCATGTGCGCAAGTAAGAAAAAAGACGATCACGGGCTGGTCCAGGAGATATCTTCTCATCCAGAGCGATGAGACCTAAAGCATCCGCGAGAGCACGCACGACTGCATCGGCAGTCGTGGTGGCCTCGCAAGACATGAAGCAGCGGCGGTCGCCGTACAGGTCCTTCACGTGCGGGTCGTGCAAGATCGCCAGAGCGATAGAGGTCTTTCCGATCCCGCCGGGACCCAAAATTGCCACGCGCGCGGGCTGCTTGTTCACGATCATGTCGACGGCGGCTGCAACTTCGGTTTCCCGGCCGTGGAAGATGTTGTTGGCAGCGCGCAGGCGCCATGTCGAGCTACAGACCGGTCAACATAGTTATTTGTCGGAAGATTGTTGGAGGGACTCACGATATAACGGACGCAATGATATGAGGCACGCCAGATGTTTGCGCCTCGATTCTACTGATGGCATGCTGCATATTCTCCAGGATGATGACTTGGTCGACTTGCAGTGTCGTCTGAAACACAGTGAGAGCCAGAGTGAGCCTTGATCGCCGCGACAGCATGAAGTACGCACGTTGAACCGTTGCACAGCTTTCGCCAACTTCGAGGAACACTCCTTCACTGATTTGGCGAGATCAGATCGCTTCAAGAAGAGGCGCGCGCGATCGCGTTTCCGCTTCGAGTCAGCCTTGCATTTCTGAAGAGTCAAGATACACTCGAGCACGATCCTAATGCGACTTGAGCGGTCTGCCCTGAGCGAACACATCGGAGATGCGTACTTTTCGAGGTCGGAAAAGGCTTTGCGAAGGGACCTGCTCATCGCACCCTCACCCTTCCCGGACTCAACACACTCGTCACGGAACTGCTCAATCATTTCCTTCATCTCTTTGGCATCGGCCATCGTCGCTTTACACTCGCTCTTGCACTGGTCGACTTCCTATCAAGGAGTATCAGCACCAATCAGTCATATGCTGGGGCACCGCCTCACATCTTGGATCTTCATGAACTCTGTCAGAGCAGTCGATATCACACCCAAGTACGGCACGTTCTGCGTGGCCTGCGCGGCCATGCCGAGCGCCAGAATAGCCACTTTCACCGCGCCTTTCATCCCATCTTTGACATCGTCGCTGATTTCTAGGCGCGTTCGTGAGTATTTGCTAGCGCCCACTGACCGAAAAGGAAAGTAACTCACCGAGACGACTCTTCGCAGGAGGCTCCACAGAAACATCGGGCGCATCACGCTGGTCTTGAGCAGCAGTAGACATTAAGATCGCGGACGGTGGAGAGGGAGATGCGCAGAGTTCAGACAGCTGTAGATGGTGGACCTTGTGAGACACGATAAGCAGGTGCCTGCGGGAGGCTCCTCGCGGTTGGCGTGCGTTCGAGCCCGTGGCTGCATTTGGCTGTACATGGCGATGTCTCGACGTTTAGACGCTCGATGCCCGCTGCGGGCCGCGGCGCCTATTTCACTCAAACGCGCCGGTCAAACAAACATGCGTGTTCAAACATCTCGCGGTTGTGATATTAACAAGAGTCGTCGCGATGTACATGAGATGCTACTGGGGGGATAATGCACTTTCGGAATCCCTTCCTCCAGAGCGCGTCCACCTGAGCGTACCATCACGCCTACATCGAGACTCAGTCAGCAGGCATCGAGGGAGGCCCAAAGTTGTTCGCACACCTCGGAAACGCGCATCTCCTTTTGCCGCTCGCGAAAAACCAAGGACTTCGTAGCCTACTATTCCGCCACTCTCTCTACGCAGCTACCGGATCCATCATTTATTAGAGAGCGTAGATAGACTCTGGCCGATGCATTGTAGCCATTGCGCGCATTCGAGTGCGTTGGCAGATAGCACTGCCGGTATCTGCCCGGTTCGGAGCGAGATGATGGAGGTAAGTTAAAAGAACAAGCCAGTCGCGACTCGTCGCCGCGCGTCTTGACTCTCTACTTCGACTGCCCACAGCGAGAGCTCTGATTGGACGGCTTATATACTCAACGCCTCTGGAGTGGACTTGCATTGCCATCATCCTCTTGATGATGAGGATCTCGTAGCTGCTCCTTAAGCTACTCGCACTCGACCCCCCCGGGCTTATCCTCTTCGTCACTCAGGAAATTCGCCCATGTCCGGTACCTAGCTCGCCGGTGAGAAGTACCGAGGCGCATGTACGCACCTGCCCTCGGGCCCCTACCGTATCTCGCAACATCGAGATATTCCTCCACCAGCCGCACGCGGGACCTGTCGCATCATACACCCTAGGAACGTCGCCCAAACTTCTCTCGACCGCATAGCAGCCACAGGTGCGGCAGAGGTTCGGCGATGCAGGTCGCAAAACGCTGCGTGTACCAGTCTCAGGGGAGACGTAGCAGGACAACCGCCGGCGGAGATGGGCGGAGCGAGGGCCGAGTCGCTGTAGCAATACCAGCGTTATGAAGAGGACATGGATGCGAGGACCTTGAGGGACGAAGAGGGTGGTACATATATCAATGAGTGCCTTCACAGGCCGGGGCTACTAGTCCCATCGCATCGACCACCCGACCAAGGTCAAGTCCTTCGGTCGCAGCCATATCACTACTTTGGTGCTCGCGAACGATACCACCGTTGCGTCCATCTTGCGTTTGGTACTGGCCTTATAGGAGCACGATATCACAACCCTGTTACTATACGACAGAACCACGATACATGAAGTTTACTGAGAAAGACTGCGCATATCTATCGACTTGAGAATCCATGTCCGAGATAAGTGACATCGCTCAGCGCGAAGTCGCAGCGCTGCTGTACAGAGACTTCCGTGAGCATAGGATGGCCTCACACTTCGGCCGAGACATCCCCGAAGTCAGCCTGGGAAGACGCGGAAGGCTGCGTCGGGCGCTCGTCGAAGCTACTCGACACGTCAGCGATCCTCTCAGCTCCGTACGAACAATGTTAAATGACGACTTACGTCTTCTCTGCAGTACTCTGGCGTACTTCCTGTATAGCATCGTTCTCCGAGCCATTCTCTGCCTCATTTGCAACCCTTCCTTCTCCATCCTGTTCTTGCGCGCGGGCGTCGGGTTGATGTAGCTTGGATTCGACCTAGCTCTTCATCGTCAGTCATCAGTCAAGTCCTTATCAAAGCACACATTAGCGCAGTCAAGCCCTAGCGACATAGAGTTCTGAGCGGGCCGTTCGCCGAACTCGATGTCTCCTAGCGGCGAACGTGCTCTGCGGGTGGGGAGAGTCGGTTTCCAGCCAATCCACCCGCAGATGGTACAGATGATGCGCCAGTACGACGCGCGCGCCTCCGATGTGACGCCGAAGAGTCCGAAGATGACGAAGGCGAGGATGGGTGAAGTCCAAAATACGAAGTAGAATTGGGCTAAAGCGGAAGTCCCTTGAGACACAATAGATGCATAGGAATAGCTTTGCGGCTGCCACTCCGTATGGTCATGAGTCCAACCGAAGTAGAATGGGACGGTCCCGAAAGATACAGAATCTTTCACGATCAAGGCGATCGTCGCGATGCCGAGAGGTAATGTGAGCAGAATATCGATGCTGGCAAGAGCAAGGATACGGAAGTAATTTGTGCGGTTCACCGAATCGTTGCTCTGTAGGAAATGATTGATCTCTTGACCGTGGCGATAGAAGATGCGAGCGACATGAGCTTGAATCTTAGGCATGAGCATGACGAGACCAAGGAGAGATCGTCAGAGATGAATAAGACATACGATAGTAGACGGTGATTGAGACTGTAGGCGGGATCACTAGCCATGACTGGGTAAGCAAGACGTTGAGTATTGAACCGTCGGGGGTGTTTGTGCAACCAAAACCCTCGTCGACCTGAAATCGAGAGCCCTGGACGACGTAGTCTGGAAACAGACTGAGCGCACGTGGGGACATTCGAACCATGGACGTACTCACATAAAGGCCATGCCACCAAAAGAGGAATCCCGAGACCGAGTATCCACTCTATCGCGAGGTTTCTGCGCCGCTGCCGATACTGAAGTTAGACCCAGGTGAGTCCGCCGTGCACTGCAATTCATCTTTGCCGTTGTAGGGGGCTCTATAGACCGCAGACTGGTGATCATGTATAAACGGCGAGTAATGATCAGGGTGGCCATAGATTTGACGACCGAGGCGATCATTTGCATGTGCGATACTGCTCAACATGATGTCAGATGGGATGAATAGCCTCATCGAAGACATGCGTACCGATGTCACAGTAGACATACAACTTGATGTCTGCATTATCATGCCATATAATGGTGTTTATGCCCTGTGCGAGGTTTTGCCAAAAGAGCCAGAAACAGAGCAAGGCGACACCGAGGTTCCAACTCTGGCGGACAAAGCTGGTCAATAGTACAAGGAGTAACATTACCGAAGCCAGGAGGCTAGCGATAGGGTAGAGGGGGTATGTTGGATCCACGGCGGCCATAGTGTGCGGCCGTGTTGACGGTGTTTGCAAGCAGGATGCCGGGTATATATACTCGCGCTCTGAGCGATCTCAGAGCATGAAACGGAGACCGTTGCGTCCAAATAATGTAGGTGGTCTTCTTGCGATGATATCAAGTACGTTGCAAGCCTAGGCAGCCATTACACACGGACGCGACGCGCTGTGCGCGAATGAACATGCACATCGCTTCGTAGCGACAACGCTCGAGAAGATCTGCACGCAGAAGGGGTCCAAGTGAGAAATGCGTTGCCTGGCGTCGAGACGTATGACCGAAGATACAAGGCGCAAGTCAGATGGTAGCAACGAAAGAATTCGAGTCAAGATGCGCACCGTATCGATCTCAGCGAGTGCGGAACGGTGGGCGGAAGAACAACAAGACAACGCCCGTACGAGTTGAAGGGTGAACTTTGTCCTACTGGCGTCAGATACTGTAGCCATCGTCTAGATCAACTTGAAGCGGCCCGCGAGCGCATGAGAGTCGAAACGGGATTGAGGGACCGCTGCGGTCGCCCCCCTGGACGAGAGGATATTCGTACATAGCGGGCGCAGGGACCGCGGGCTTAGCGAGAACAGCACAGTATTCAGGTTCATATAAGAATTTGCTTGGGATTCGCTACTTTGGATTGAAAGACCGTTCTCATTGTTCCAAGTGGTGGTGGTGGTGGTGGTGGTAGAAACCAAGAGAACTCTGAGCCCGCGTCAAGCGGCAACGCGCGAACCGCCTTGCGGAGCCTCCGAGGCTACTTTTTCTCGACTTCCATCAAGCTTCGCTCACGATGACCCAGCCTAGCCGTCTTTCTATCCTCAATCTTCTTTCCTCAGCTCTATGCATGGACCGCCCGTGAGCGAGGCACGCAAGAGCACGCTGATACTCGCGCCAACCCATCGACCCGTCCATCCCCCTCGGGCTACGACTTAGAATAGCGAGCCTCCGCCCAGCGCATGGATACCCCGGCCATTCAGCGCCAGCCGCAAATGTCACGTTCGGCCTTCCTGCGCGCCCATATGGTCCCCCAGGGTCCCACGCTACGTCGGCGGGAAACCCAGCTCCAGCGCACGAGCGGACCGAGGTTGCAGGGAGCACTATCGGTATGACTCGAAAGGAGACGAGGAGGGTGGCGGCGCTGTCGGCCGATACCCAGGTGCAGAGGAGGCGCTCGAAGCGCTTAGCGGTTGCGAGGCGCCAGGCGCAGGTGTGACTATCTTTCTTTCTCATCTGATAGTCATGCTGATATCGTCTACCACAGTTACGGACGCGCGAGCGACATAGTGCAAATATCTTGCTCAGTTGCAAGCTCTGGGAAACGACGAGCTGAGAAGCTCTAGAGGGATGAGGATAGCTCCCCAACCGTGCCTGAGGACAGTGTCTCGGCGCATGCGAGCTAGACATGTTGTGGAGGGTATCCGAGGAGAAGCGAGGGCGCAGGTAAGTTGGTCGTCCTTGACTACTTCATACTCTTTGCTCATCGCCACATAGCTCAAGGTCTCCCGAAGTCCCCACCTGCTATCGAGCGTGGAGCGTCAACACTTTGCAGCGTGACGCAAGGATGTCGGCACGTTCACGCGTCTGTCTCGCCGTTTCATGCGCTGAAGCGCCTTTCAGATGCTCCTTCTAGCCATCCCTCGTCGCACTCTGCATCGTAGCTCATGATGAGCCCGGAGGATGTCGTCAACCAATCAGATTGCCAAGCTCGCCCACAAGCGTCTGACGCACTCCCAGACCGGTGATACCGTCCGTGACTCGCACAAGATCCCCCAGGTCCGCTTCGCCACCGGTAACAAGATCCTCTGTGTCTTGAAGAGCAACGGTGCGCTCACATATCTCCTCGGATTGAGCACGGATGACTGACGCTGACGTGATTGTTGAAGTTCGTGCTCCGTCGATCCTATAGCCTTAGGACGTTTGGCACCTTGTCAAGAAGGCCGTCGCCGTCCGCAAACACCTCAAGACTAACCGCAAGGACAAGGACTCCAAGTTCCGCCTTATTCTCATCGAGTCGCGCATTCACCGTCTCGCGCGCTACTACGAGACTAAGCGGCAGATCCCGCCGTCGTTCAAGTACGACTCGGCGACTGCTTTCGCTCTCATCGCCTGAGCGCGGCGCATCCTTCGCAGGGAGGGCAGCCTGTGATGTATGCTACTCGGTCTTTTGTCTTACTTATTGTCTACTATACAATATAGGCCCATGCTCGACATGCTTTTGCGCCGCGTGACAAATTTTGCCCGACAGGTTTGGCTTGAGGTCATCGGTTCGACTTTCACGCGCGCAACGTAGACATACCCGAATGCATTCGTGACGGTTTTCAAATTTGCTCGTCATTGTGGACGCTCATTGCTGTACATATTACCGTACATGGGACGTGCAAATAAAAGGATCGTAGCGCCAAAGGTGGGCCAGGGGGAATCGTATCTTCATGTCGCACGACCATGAAGTTGGTGCGTTCGGCGTTCCCGGGCCTGAGCGCCGGATGCTCGCGAACCTGCACTCAACGTACGCGCGCGCTCAGACTCTCATCCTCCTCGGAATTCTCCTCGCTTGCTCCCTCGCTGTCGCCGACCTCGTCCACATCACTCTCCAGGTCCCCTACTCCCTCTCCCCCCGCCTCACTAGACTCCCGTTCTAACCCGCTGTGCGATGTCTCTGGCCCCTCGTCGTGCCCGAGTGCCCGGTGTGTTTCGAGCATCAAGGGAAGGTCCCATGGCGGAGGGGATGTCTGCAGCAGTCGCTCGTAGCATTCTGTTTCTTTCGTACCTTCCCACATGGAGTGTAGCTCGGCGGTCGAATCGTTGTCCGAATAGCGACCGCTGCGATAGATGATGGGCATATCGAGCTTGCGCCGCCCTACATTGACGACGTGTTGCGCTTCGGTTACTTCGTGATGATCCCAATATCGATCATCGGAGCCTTGCACGACCCATACTTGTGATTCTTGACCGAGTGTCCAGGCTGTCAGGATAGCTTCTTGCAGCTCTTCCAGATCCTCCCCTGTTGCTTCTTTATCACCAAGCTCACCAGCACGAGAAGCAACCCACCCCACCCAGTCTGAGAACAGTGCTGAGGTGTCTCCGAGCTGCTCGTCCATCCGGACAGCCTCTGAATAATGCGCTCGTGCATCCTTGAACTGGCTATATGTTATTCGTCTGATGTATCCTAGTTGGCGAAGAATGGTAGACTGTAGTCGTAGCTCAAGTGAACGAGACTTTGCATATGCAAGAGCTTGAGAGAGCGCGTCCCTATCCGTTATTTTGGATGGACTGGAGATCGCTACTTCCAGACAGCGATCGCGACAAGACCCTGGGCGATCCAGAATAAATGCCCAAAACGACGATTGATCCCACCCTAAGGGTTCTTGTGCCACAAGATGGGCCATCGTGACGACGAGGTTATCCGATATGTAGTGTTGTAGAATGTGGTGACGGATGGGGGAGAGCGCGCGAAACCGAAGCCACTCAGGTTTAGTGTGCTCCAATGGATTATCGGTGTAGATTAAACTAAGCTGCCTGAGTATTGTCAAGCAGCGACTGACGGATATCGAATGCTCCTTGAATACGTCTCCTAACTGGGGAATGCGTGCATCCCAGAATCCCTCGGAAAATAGGCAAACGATGCAGAGTATCTTCGTAGCCGCCTCTCGGTCTCGATCACTCAGAGCCCGCAGTGATAAATCTATGGATTCAGGAACACTGTTCAAGCGATCCTCCTTTGTACCGGTGCGAATAAGGTCGGTATGCTCGTCCTGCCAACGATCCCAGATCCTCTTCGCACTTCCCTCGAAGGCGACCACGCTCGCAAGCAGGGTGACCGCCAATGGCATGCAGTCTACGGCATCGACGAGCTTAACGACAAAATCGTCGTGCGGAGCTTTAGCGCGGTCGTCCCACGTAGCAAGCGCCGCTTTTTGGGAGAAAGGTCTGATGTGGGAAAGGGCAGGTTCAGTCCACTCGATAGTTGGTATGCTCGTAGCACGACTCGTGATCAATAGAGCAACGGAGGGCAGCGCAGCAATCTCGTTCAGCAGCTCATCGAGCAAAATCCTATCAGCATCAAGAGGCGTTTCCATGTTATCCAAACAGAGGATCCCGGAGCATGTGCGCAAGTAAGAGAAAATACGATCACGGGCTGGTCCAGGAGATATCTTTTCATCCAGAGCGATGAGGCCTAACGCATCGGCAAGAGCACGCACGACTGCATCGGCGGTCGTGGTAGCCTCGCACGACATGAAGCAGCGGCGGTCGCCGTAGAGGTCCTTGACAAGCGGGTCGTGCAGGATCGCCAGAGCGATCGAGGTCTTCCCGATCCCGCCGGGACCCAAGATCGCCACTCGCGCGGGCTGCTTGTTCACGATCATGTCGACGGCGGTCGCAACCTCCGTTTCTCGGCCGTGAAAGATGTTGTTGGCAGCGCGCAGACGCCATCCCGCACTGCAGAAGAAGTTAAATGGACTCTACGAGGAGCGCGTCTCGACGTACTAGGCAGGCGCCGCTGGCTTTAACGGCAGAACATGTTTGTGCAACTCATGGGTGACTCGATGGGTCTCACGAACCACACGATTGGTGTCCATAGCGATAAGCGTCTGGCGAGAGACGTTGAGATGCATTATATCACAAGGAAAATACGACGTACGAGGAACTTCTCCTTCGCGACCCGCATCTTATCACGACACTGTTTCACGCAAGTCTGGACCTCATCACGCTTGAAAAGGAGCCTGAACCAGTCCCGTCGGCGCTTGGAGTCCACCTTGAGGGATTGCAAAGTCGTGAGTGAGCCCAGCATCACCCTGACGCGTTCCGCTCAGCTTATGTAGGTCCTGGCCAGCCATGTTGCAGACGTACTTGCCAAGCTCCTCAAACGCTTCTCTGAGGCCATCGTCTCCATCTGCCTCAAGTTCGACCCAGTCCGCCTGATGTTTCTGTATGAGCTCCTTGAACTGGTTCGCTTCGTCCATGGTCGCCTGGCAATCTTCCTTGCACACGGAAACCTCCTGTGTGCCTCATCAACATAACACTCGGAGGGATCTTCCGAACACTTACATCGAGCACTTCTTTGAACGCGGTGAGGGCCGTCGAGATCGCTCCGAGGTACGGCACGCTCTCGGTCATCTCGGCGATTACACTCAGGACGTCGACGGCCATCTTTGCGGCCGCCTTCGCGTTCTCTATACTGCTATCGCTCATACCTAATCGTGGTGTCAGACTGTTGTATTTGATGAAGCCAAATGAGGACGTACGGAGACGGTTCTGAGTGCCCTTGCCCGTCCGATCTGGGCCTTCAGCGGCCGTGGTCTCAGGTAGAGTAGACATGAGTGGTTGTGAGAGAGTAGATAGATGGTGGTACGAGGTACGGGGCCGATAAGCAAGCGCCCAAGGACGCCTCTCTTTGAACACGTGTGAGATCTTGACCGTATACAGAAGTATGAACCCGCGCCGCTGATTGAAAGGTCCTGACGACGATGCACGCAAACCGCGGATTGTATTCCCAGAAAGGTATCCGTGGTTATCTGCATACTATAACACGTCACTCTTGCTGAACATGCTAGTGCCCGGACAGTCTACAACCAGTACATAATAGTGGTCCACCGCTTAGTGAAGTGAACTGGCGAATACGCATAGCGGAATCGTGGGTACCACACAGTCAGGCTTTCGAGGGGACACTGAGATGGGGCTTTGAAGCACGTCTGACTTTGTGTAGGGTTCGCGGGCCTGGTTTCGGAGCCCAAAGTTCAACATGATGGCGGGAAACAAAACGCAGAACTCGTGCGCGCGTCAGGTCCAGCTCCTTGCGACTTGACCTCCATCAACCTCTCCCGCATTCTCTGTCGATGTCTCCACAATATTCCGCTCGGCTCAGCTGCATCTCAAGCACCCACCGCTGACAATTCAACGGCCTTGTTGCCTTTCAACGCACGCTGCCTTCGAGCATCATGGGCCGGAGCCAAAAGCACAACTTCGACATGCCGCGCTCGGCCTTCTCCATGTCCGGAGGCGAGGAGGATGGCAGGCGCAGCGCTGTCGGCCGATACCGAACCAGCCCCGTGGGTATGACTATCCTCGTTTTCTCATCGGGCCGTGCTGATATTGTCTATCACAGTGACGGACGCGCGAGCGACATAGTCAAAATATCTTGCTCAGTGGCAAGCTCTGGCGAGCTTGTTCTCTCCACATGTGTAGATGACCGATCAGCGAGCGCGCTCACTCTTGCGACTTCGCTCGACCATCTGTTCGCCGTCCTGTCCATCCATACTTCCCCGATATAACTGCATGGGGACCCGCGCCACTCCCTACACCATGCCTTTTGCTCATCGAACGCATCCAACCGGGGCTTCGACGCTCAACTACGACCGCCGAGCCTGAGGAGACCGTCGGAGGGCCTATACAACATGCTAGAGAACGTAGCGTGGAGGGTATAGTAAGGACACGATTACTCCCCCGAGCGAGGGAAACTGGAGGATACCCATTCATGCACCCGCAACGCCTCGACCGTTCTATTCATCCCACCATTGCGTGTAGCTGGCGACCTAGTCACGCCAAATAACGCTTCAGCCACGAGCGCAGCGTGCAATATCCCCAGCTGCCTGTGCAACTCTTCCTCTCCATACATCGCGCCAGCGACGACCAAAGAAACGGAGTTTGTGCTATATCTACCTACGATACGCTAGCGAGTGCCGAAGGGAGCGTGACGGTAGCATCTGGACAGCTGCCGGTTGGCTGTCGATGGACGCAGTCGTGAATACGGATGGCCGTGGTGCGAAACAAGCGGGGTAGGAGCTATGATGGGCACGATGAGCCGAGGAGCTCGGGAGGGCTGGGGATAGTGTTTCGACCACGCTTGTAGACGATATACCGGCGCATGCGAGCCATGGACGGCACCCAGAGAGAAGCGAGGACCCGAGTACGTTCGTCCTCCTTGACTTCTTCACACTCTTCGCTCATCGGCCACATAGCTGAAGATCTCTCGAAGTCTCCACTGGCCAGCAAGCATGGACCGTCGACGCTGGCTAGCGCGCCGCAAGGACATACGTACGTTCACGGGCTTGTCTCCCCGTTTCATGCTCTGAAGCGACTTTCAGATGCTTCTCCAAGCCATCCCTCCTCACACTCTGCATCGTAGCTCATAGCTCATGATGAGCTCGAAGGACGTCGTCGACCGGACCGCAAAGCTCGCCCGCAAGGGCCAGACGCGCTCCCAGACTGATGATACTTTCTGTGACTCGCACAAGGCCCCCTCATGGTCAGGTCCGTTTCGCCACAAGATCCTGTGCATCTTGAAGAGCGACGGTGCGCTTCTATGCATCCTCAGATCAGGAGTGGTCAGCTTACACCAGTTGTGGAAGGTCATGCGCCCTTGATCTCGGAAGACCTCTGGCACCTCCTCGGGAAGGCTGTCGCCGCAGGTACATCAAGACCTCGAGGACAACGTTTCCCGGTTCCGCCTCATTCTTCTCGAGTCACATTCGCCGTCTCGCCCGCTACTACAAGACCACGTAGCAGATCTCGCCTTCGTTCAAGTACGATCCGGCCACTGGTTTACTCTCATCGCCATGCAGCCCTACGAAACGGCTAATGGGTATGCAGGGATGTCAAAACAGGGCCGCACGAGTAGGCGAACGTTAGTTGAACGCATAAGCGCGCTCGGCGCCAGCGTCGCAAAGCGTGCGAAAGGATAGACGCGACCCCGTGACTATCATTAATACATGCGCAAACATCTTGTGTACGCGTTTGCACCTGCCAACGGGGTCTATTGAGCACTCTGCATGGATGCTGATATATAAGTGGCACTCGGATTTAAAATGTAGTATCTCCCATCAAATATGGGGAGTGTCACATAGCATCATATGGTTAATCATGTTGGTTCCCGATAGCTCAAACACTCGCGCCAACAGCGGACCGGTGCGGAAGCTCAACCATCGCGATCTTCACACTTCCCAGCGTTTGCGCAGAAACTTCAACAAGCTTCAGATCTGCGCACGGCGCAAACTGAGACCTTCTCCGTATCCTCGCGCCGTATTTGAAGAATAAGAATGGGATCGGCGCGAGCACCAGCGCAATGAGGCCGATGAGCGTGCTCGCCCACTGTACGCCCATCCTCTCGTACATCTGTGTTGTGAAGAGCGGGAAGGCTGCCGCGATGGCCGAGCGCACGATGGTATTAGCTGCAAGAGCTGATGCGGCGTGCATCAGGTAGGTGTCCACGAGATAGCTCTGTGCGACGGGTCAATCAGGGTGCGCGTGTACAGCAAGCGAGATTGCACTCACAACGAAGGAGATGAATATGAGCGTCACGCTAAACCCTACAAGAACCAGGCTGACAGCAGGAGCCGCCCAATGAACGTTGGGATAGTTCCCGGTCCATCCAAACCAGAAAACGCCTATAACCATGACGGGGGCAGCGACCATAGCGCCTTGAAGGCGGTTCTCGGGAGGAGGGTGTCCTCTCCATTCTTTAACAAGGGCTCCGTACATCCTAGACTTGTGGATAGCGATGGCGCAGCTGAGAATGACTCCAACCCCAACACCGATGAACGTAAGGCCGCTCTGTGCGACAGTGAAATCGTGTTTTATGCTGAAGACGATAGGCACCGCCTCGAACACTGAAGCGTGACGTAAGCCATGAAGTACATCCTGTCAAGAAGCGGTGGACTCACACCCGTACAAGATGCCATACAGCACTGAGATGTAGATGGTTATGAGGAGCAGTATCGGTTCCACGGCGAGCATGACGAAAGGTCGCTTGATGGTACGGTCCATGAAGGACGTGATATCCAAGCCATGACGCTCGGCTTCCGCATATAGATGTTGGTTGTTCACCGGATCCTCGGCCCGTAGTCGTCTCGCGCGCAGTTCCAGGATCCTAGGCGCGTACGTTTCCGGCACGAAAGCAATCGCGAGTGTCGATGCCACAGCCGCGAAGATGAACATCACCCAGAAGACCCAGCGAAAGTCGCCAGTCTCCTGAGCGATGAACCCACCCACAACGGGGCCGAGTACAGGCCCTAGGAAGACCATCATGACAAAGATAGATGTTGCCGGACCGCGCAGAATTGGGTCCCAGATGTCCGCAATGAGCCCAGCGGCGTTCGTGAGGGGTGCACAGGCGAAGAATCCGGAGAAGAAGCGGGTGATAAGGAGTGTTGCGGTGTTTCGTGCGAGGGCTTGACCGAGGATAAAGAGCGTGTAACAAGTCATGGTGACTATCTGCGAACGCACAGTGTCATTAGTTCGTCTTCAGCAATAATAACAGCAAAAGAACGTACAAATACTGGACGACGTCCGAATACCTCCGAGCCAGGCCCCCATAGGATTGGTCCGGCAACATAACCAAGTAAGAATAAGCTGGTCAAGAGGTTTGCGACTTCAAGCGTCACTCCAAACTTCTCCGCGATGAGCTGAGTTGACGCGGTCGGAGCGGACGATGCAAAAGTCCTTTCAGGGCAGAGTCAGCAATTGAGATAGTCAATCGGGCTGAGGGTACCCACACGTTCACCGTCATGAAAGCACAAATCATTGTAACGAACCACTTGTAGTTCCTAGACCAGTTCTGAGGATCATCCATGTCGTCGGGCCCGTTGAAGCGCATGAGGTTCTGGTCGATATCCTCCAACTTGAGCTGTCCAGAAGAAGACGAAGGTAACTTCGCCGTGGAAACGACCAGCGGCTTTGTGTGGTCTTCACTGCCACAACAGTCCTGGAATCGCCATCCTACCCCTTCAGCATCTCCACCGGAGGTAGATGCTATTGAGTGGTTCGGACTAAGGTATATCTTGAGCGGCGTCATGCGTCGCCAGGGAGAGGGGTAGACGGAGGGTTATGAAAGATGAATTCTGTTGGAACTTCGCATATGTATCGGTATTCAGGGATCAGCACCACATCGTCGCATACAAGTGTAGAGTCCGAGCAGAAGTGCGACAGAGTTGATGGCGGTATTGGGCGCCGGAAGTCGCAGTCGCCCGGGTCGTTTCATCCGGAGCATACGGAAGAAATAGGACTCGGGGTAAGCTTGGTCTGATGTACGCCGGGATCGTACATACCGTGTTTCAGGAGCAGAATAGCACGCTGGAGCACTTCGATTGGGATACCCACAGTGTACCCTTCGCGTCGAGATGCTGGAGATGTCGGGATTGAACGGAGGTATCGGCGAAGTGGAGAAAGGGTGCTGGAGGGCGCCCCTTGATGCGCGCAGTGCGCTCGTGTTCATCTTCCAGTACCGCCGCTCCCATGAGTCCGCAGCGAGGCTTAGCGCTGAAGTTCAAGCGCATACGGCGAATATCGTTCGCAAGTCGAGCTGCAGCAAACTCGTTCTTTCGTGGGCGCGTCTTGTCTCGCTGTCATGCGCGCACTCCTTTCCAGCATAAAGCAGGAAATAGACATTGACATAAGGGGTTGAAGAGTGCTCGGAGATATCAGAGCACAGGAACGAGAGTGGTGACCGTCAGAGGACAAGCGCGGGGATCGCTGTCGGCGCCGAAAACGTCCAGCGTGGGAAAAATGAACGCGATCTTGTGACTATCATCATCGGAGACCAGGTGGCGGCAATGTACGCGTACACAGCCGGGTTGCGCGTTCTCGTACGTAAATCGCAAAAGCTCCTGAATGATCAGACAGATATAACTCTATAAGTGCATTATGTTCGTGGTCGTAGATGCTAAGGTACAAAAATATTCCTTTTTATACGTGCAAGGCCGTCCTCAAGGTCGTAACACGTTCGGATCACGTATTCATGAAAGTATCGTCTCACGCCGTCCACGCAGAGCCAAAACCACAGCGGCGCAAACCAAGTCAATCTCAAACCTCAACTCCCTTCTTACCTCCCTTCTCCTCCTCAATCTCCCTCCTAATCCTCAAATCCACCCCCGGCGCAAACCTCGACCCCGCCCGTATTCTCGCCCCATACCTAAAGAACAAAAACGGCATAGGCGCAAGCAGCAGCGCCACGAGCCCAATGAGAGTGCTCGCCCACTGAATGCCCATGCCATGGTACATCTGGACAGTAAAGAGTGGAAAGGCGGCGCCAACTGCTGATCGGGCGATCGTGTTGGCTGCGAGGGCGGAGGCGGCGTACATGAGGTAGGTGTCTACTAGGTAGCTCTGTGCGAGTCGTGAGTAAGTATGCTGATTGTACGAAGGGAGGTGAGAGAGGGGACGTACGATGAACGAGATGAATACGAGTGTGACGCTCATCCCGATGAACAGCAGACTAACCGCAGGTACAGCCCAATGCACATCAGGATAAGCCCCAGTCCACCCCAACCAGAACGCGCCGATGACCATCGAAGGGCCCGCGATCATTCCGCCGTACAGACGATGTTCGGGCGGAGGAAAGCCTCGCCATTCTTTGACGAGAGCGGGGTACGACCTGGAGGTGTATATGCCGACGAAGCAGCTGAGCACGACGCCGATGCCCACACCAATGAACGCCAGCCCGGTCTGTGAGACTGTGAATCCGCGTTTCTCAGCAAAGATGATCGGGACCGCTTCGAACACTGTAGAGTATAATGAGCAACGTCGCAAACCCATCATCCAGAGGTAAATGACGTACGTCCGTACAAGATGCCATAGATGAAACACATGTAGATCGTGATGAGCAACAAGATGAGCTCAGATGCGAGCATCTTGAACGGGCGCTTGATCGTACGATCGATCAGACTCGCGAAATCCCACCCATGCTTCTCGGCCTCGGCGTACAGGTCCTTGTTCTTGACCGGGTCCTCCTTTCGCAGCTTTCTCGCGTGCAGCTCGAGGATACGCGGGCCGTACGTCTCGGGCAAGAACACGGCCGCCAGAGCCGAGCATACACCCGCGAATATGAACATGACCCAGAACACCCAGCGAAAGTCGCCCGTATCTTGTGCGATGAAGCCCGCTACGACCGGACCCAGGACCGGGCCGAGGAAGACCATCGAGACGAAGACGGACGAGGCTGTCCCGCGCGCGACGGGGTCCCAGATGTCAACGATCACGCCGCCGGCGTTTGTGAGTGGTGCGCAGGCGAAGAAGCCGGAGAGGAAGCGCGTTATGAGGAGTGTGGGGGCGTTTTGGGCGAGGGATTGGCCGAGGATGAAGAGAGTGTAGCATGTCATCGTAAGAATCTTTGGAGGATGTCATCGTCAGTTGAGTATAGGACGATGGGCGGGAGAGTGGTACGTACGAAGACCGGACGCCGTCCAAAGACTTCAGATCCAGGACCCCAGAATATCGGTCCCGCGACGTATCCGACCAGAAACAAGCTCGTAAGCAGATCCGCGACTTCGCTCGATACGCCAAATTCTTGTTGAACGAGTCCGGCAGCAGACGTCGGCGCAGACGACGCGAACGTCCTATTCATATCCAATATGTAAGTTCGAAGTTCAAATGGCACTTGACAAGGAGAAGACGCACACGTTAACCGTCAACAACGAGCATATCATCGTCAAGAACCATCTATACGTCCTCGACCAGTTGTGTGGGTTGCCCATATCATCCGGGCCCTCGAAGCGCACCAGGTTCGGGTCGTGCTCGTCCTTGTGCGTTGATGATGGCCTCCTCGATGTTGCGTTGTCGGGCAAAGGCGACTTGACAGGCGGTTCTTCAGGATCGTCGCCGCCGTACTCTTCGATCCTCCGCTCAGTCCTGAGAATCTCTTCGCCGAGCGTAGACTGTAACGTCGCGCTCGAGCTCGACGCCGTGGGTTGATGTATTGTCGCCATGCGTTAAAAAAGGTCGATGTACAACGCAGGAGCGGAGCGGTGGGTAGAGGAGGGGCAGAAGGGCCGGTGAATTAACGAATCCGGCAATCGAAAGCGGGCATGTATATACCCCATAGCCGGCCACGCAAAGACTTGCGCCACCCCGGGCAGAGAGGGCTTGCCCGGAGGCTTACATACGCTTCTCTAGCTTCTTTTAGCGCGCCTGGTATGAACCCGTGCCGGAGTTCTGGAGTCAATCCGGCTATCAGAATAGCGTTGTGCGTGCTAGACATCGCGCTAGATGGCATGGAATTGCGCCGTGGGCTATTGCATGGGAGAATTTCTTTAGCACTTTGTGCGCGGGGCTTGTAGGGTGTATGTTCGACGTCGACTGGGCGATGGACTTGCACAAAAGTACAGTGGAGGTGCAGCGGCGACCTCTGAGGGTGCAGGTGGTATAACATAGCCCCGGAGATCATGAGGTGAAGCACCTAAACAACAAAGAAATGAATATCTCGCAAACTCAGAAGCCAGTAATGCAACATACACACACCGGCAATCTCGGGAGCCGACCCGAGATGAGCCTTATCCGCCAGTCAGCGACTTATCCGGAGTGTATCGCTCCGCATAGGTCCCTTGTAAGCCTTAGAAAGAGTAAATATTTGGGTTCGGGTATAATATTCATGGCCGGGGTGCTTACCCCTATGGGTCCAGGTGTACTCATATGCTTGATTCACATCGATGAGTGAGCCTGCCCGAGGCAGAGCCGTGGCGCAAGGCAATGAGTAACTTGAGACTGGCACTACGCCCGAGATACTAGATCCGTAAGAGATCGCGCACTTGGGGCAAAACGACGGTGACATAGCACGACCAAATCTGGAGCGAGTTATACAGCGTGCAGAAGCAACCAGAACCATGCTACGCATGCGGCAAACGCACACAACTCGGCCTCCTCGTCCCCTCCGGATCCTCGTCCGGCCCAAACGGCCAAGTCGGCACATAACACATCTCCTACCCACACCTCGCATCAGCTTCTTATACACGGAAGACAAACGCGCAACGCACCTCCATGTCGCACCCCGGGTTGCACTTGACCCACGCCTGTGTCCAATCGAGCCACTCCATAAGCGCGTCCACCTCCGTCTTCATACTATCCACGACGGCATATACGTCCTCTTCGGGGATGTCAGGGTCCTCGACGGTGAATGCGGCGTGGAACATTCGGCCCAGTCTACGACATATCTCCCGCATCACGTCCTCAATCGCACCATGTATAAGACGTTCTTGTGGCGTGAGCAAGGCGGTAGGGATTCCGGCTGTATGCGTAGAGGCGCAGCGTCGGACGACGGGCGCGAGCCACGCTTTGCTCGTAGCTGCGCTATCGTCCTCGGGCACGTCCGATACGGTGAAGTGGGATGCGAGCATGGTGAGGACCTGAGCGTGGGCCTTGGCTGCTCTCTCGCGAATGTCAGAGTATGGCGCGGGCCTAAGAGTGTGCGCGAGCACCTCCAAGCGCTGCGCGTATCGCTCGACGACAACGTGCGTGGTACTAGCCCAATCCACTCCGCTCCTCCCAACATCGTTCCAATCCGATCCGACCATCTCCTCAATTTCTTTGATCTTGGTTGCCGCATCCGTGCGCGAGATGCCTTTCAGCCGATGGTGCTCTCGGGGTTTGCCGCGGCGAGCAGCGATGAGACTTGAGATGGCTGGGTCGTAGAATGAGACGAGCTTGTGGTAGAGGAGTTTGACGCGCGTTTCGCCCGGTGCAAAGTCGTGCCATTTGCCGACGACATAGATCTCGCCTGCGATGTCGGTGGGTAGAGAGCCGCGCCAGCCGGGTGGTGGACGAGGAACGCGATGAGGTGGTTCTAGATGATATTGTTGAGCATGTCCGTGAGTGCCGGTGAGGTTGCCAAGGGCAGGGTTTCGTAGATTAGGACTCTCGATGTGAGGCAAGACTTTATGCGTCGAGAGAAGTTTGAGGCCGTCGGTAAAGTTGCACTGCATGACCTCGCTAAAGAAGTCTTGAGTATATGCGGATATATGCGCGGTGTCAAACTTACAAATGAGCCTCCATCCTAACGAATCCATCTATCCCGCGTGGCCTCCCCCACTCGCACAACTTCACGATCCTCTCCGCGTCCCCATCCACCCCTCCACCGGCTTCTCCATATAACAGCACGTCCTGCGAGTCCAACGACCCGTCGTCAACTTTCGCCGCGCTCGAGCCGTCGAAGTACAGTAGCTTCAGAGGACGTGTAGTCGAAAAAGTAAAGACATGTCCCTCGTCGCCGCGCGTGAAAAAGTACGAATGTTCAAAGTCGAAGGCTATCCAGTCGGGTGCGTCGGGAATTGATGAGGACGATCGACCGTGGTATAGGACCGTTCCGGTGGGTATGAGGCATGGGACGATGGAGTGACCTGTGCGGCGGACATGGTGGTCAGAGGCAAGTCGCGTCTGCAAGAGTAGCGTGTCTTGTAGGGCGGCACCCACCTGGTCTGACGACCGTGTTTGGCCACAGCTGCATGAGCGAGCTCACCGAGTTGAAGACGAAGCGGCCCGTCGCGTCGATGTCCGGCTCGACGTCCCACTCGACGCTGTCCACTAGCGGGGCTTGGGCAGCACGAGAGGCCTGTACGCCTGCGAGTAGACCCATCGTTGCCGCTGCTAGCGCTACCACCGGGAAGGGGTGTCTAACTCTGTGCATTGCATTTCAGCGTGAGCGCCGTAGGTGAAGTAGAGGTTGTGCTTCTTATCGTCGCTCTAGCGAGCGCGTACTCAGGGTTGTATTGCGGCCGCGATGGAACCCGCGCCACAGGCGCCCACTTCACGACTTATATATTCACGCTGCGTGCGCGGCCTACGGAAACGCTCTCGTCGAGGCGTAAGTGCGTATATAACTCGCTCGAATCGCTACCATGGCTCCAGAGGCGTGGTACGAATGCGTCACAATGTCGTATCAGCACAACAAAACGGCGTGAAGCGCGCTCTCATCTATCATAGCACTGGCGCTTGTACCAGCAATTGGCTAGAGCGCCGGTCAGCGCTTCGGCCTTTGTCTAGCAGATTGGTAGAGACGAAATTGGCTTGAGAGTGCTCAGAGGGAGTTCAGTTGGATTCGAGGGCGGTCCGTGGCCAGAGGGACCTACACAACGCCGTAGGCAACGCACGAGACGCGGTATGTTGTGACACATATCATGCGCGTTCGCTCTGCTTTGGCAAGAGAGTGGCGGTACAGTGTACCAGTCAAGTGGAGGTCGCGCGCGGCCCGGGGCGAGTCCGCCGAAGCGCGCCGGGGATCGAGGGCCACTCCATACTCATTCCCTTGCGACCACGTATACGGAAATACGCGAGGAAAAATATACACTCGTATTCACTATGGGCCGAGCAAAGTTATCATGAGCATCGCACTGCTACTTGGTGGGAACGGCCAAGTCAGCACGACGCGTCTGGACAAGGTGCTCGTCTCTGGACCACGACCACGACGGCAGGAGGCCTTACCCTCCAATCATAGAAGCCACTGCATACGCTCTATGAACTACATCCATGGCCTTATCTCGCTTTTGATATACTTCTTGGCTCCAGAATGGCTAGAACACACTCGGACGACATCGCGTTACCATACCACCTTCCTGGACCTCATGGCGAATAAACACCTTGCGAGGGAACTGGTTCCAGAACCGTGCTTGCGGGTGTCTGGTATACTAGTGGCGTGGATGCGCGATAATGGATAGTCTGATACGGTGCGTGAGCGGCTCAATACTACATGGACCGTCTTCTGACCTCGCAAACAGTGGTAGCGCTTCTACTCGGTGAAACGCGGTTAATACCAGCCTGTATAAACTATACCAACCTTCAATCGCGCCCGCGCGCGTTGGTCTGCAGACTTATCTGCTGGCGACGTATAGCCACCCTACATCATCCGAAGGCTTGCCACGGCCAAGACTATCCTACAATACGAAGAAATGTCTATCTCTCGACGCAAACGTGTTCCATGCACCACAGTACAAATTGGCCATTGCGTGTCTTGTACTCAGTAATACCTTTTAGTAGCTCGAATGGAAGAACTTCATCTCGATTCGACACGTTCTCTCTTGTGCCATGAATTGCCTGCTACTACCTACTCATTCGTGACTTAGAAGCAAGACATCTGAACCATATACAGACGAAAGCATACTAACACAGAAGACACATCAGCGGCCTTGAGACAAGCGTAACCAGACGGGTGAGGCTCGTCAGCCTGATCCCGCGCACAAACATCCTATATTCCGAAATGCACGAATGGGGCCCAGCGCGCGAACTTCTTATCCTTGACCTTTTCCCTCAATATCTTCGTTGCCTCGTGCAGGGCGTATGCCGCACCCGTCTCCCCCTTCCCGAGCGTGCCCGATGCGCGAAGCTCGAGCAGCTTCCGATAGTACGCCTCAACAACGACCGGCGCGTCCTCGTCTCCGATCGACCACATCGTGGCGACCACGCCTTTGTATCCCACCGCGAGCATGCCCGCTGCGAGGTGCATCGACTCCTCGGGCATCTTCTCGTCGCCGACGGCGGTCTGGCACGCGGATAAGAACGCAAGCTCTGCATTGTCCGACCTGGTGTTCATGAGGTCGAGGAGCGAGAGCGGACCGTCGTAGAGTGCAAAGGCGCTCTGTAGAGGGTCTTCCGCGTTCTGGGTGCCATGACAAGCAAGATGCAACCACGTGTGTTGGTTCAAGGCGGTGCGTACGGCAGCCTTTGACACTTCATCCCCTGTGAAGAGGGAGGTGTCATACTTAGACTGCGCCAGAACCTCTCGTACACGTTCGCCTTCGACCAAAGTTCCTGGTATCGGTGTGCATCCGGGAACGTCCGCTTGCGTCACCACGAGTACGCTCGGAGCAACACGCTCGTTCGCGACCGCATCGATGCTGCGCGTGAGCGCGGAGAGCGATGGAGTGTATGAGGAGACAACGAAGTCGTAAACGCGTGGCCCGAACTCTCCGTAGTCCCCCGCTGCGTGAAGTGGCAGCTGGGTTAGCGGTCCAGTGGGACACCAGATGACATGAGGGAGCAAACCGGAGGGCGCTTTCTAGAAAGTATATGAATATAAGTAAGAGTTCATTTGGAAGAGCCGCAGAGAAACTCACGGGCCCGTATATACCGAGCCCTTCTAGTATCGGGCGTACGATCCATCTCCAGACGCGGCCGAGGATACGACGAGGTGATATTGGTTCCTCGGAATGATGATCTGCTCTCGGGGTGTCTCGTAATGTACCACGCTCGCGAGCATCGTGTAGCTCGAGATACAACAGCCACTGTGACCGCAGGTCCGTAGCCCTTTGCAAGGAGATATCCGGCAATGCTACGACCTTGACAGTGCCATCTGTGAGTAAGATCAAGGCATCGCAGCGCACATGATCTGCGTTGATGAAGGCCACAGGCCCGCCGAAACGTGCAGATGCGGGAAGCAATGCAGGAAGCTTCTTGGGAAGCATGAAGTCCTCGAAGCCTTCGAGTTTGCGGATGCTCAAGAGTAGCTTCCCATGCTCGATGGCCACGCCTCGTTGGATGTCTGCACGGCTACGGCCTGCGCTCGTCATTGAACTACTCTGCTCATTCAATAAAACGCCATCACGATGGGATGGTAAACAGATCGATTCCTGCAGTTGGACATGAACGTCGCTGAGAGCACGTGCTAGATCGGGGTAAGCTTGTTCGAGATCGTGAAGAGGGCTGCGCAGTGATAGCGTCTGCGACCATATGAGGGTTCGACCCGATTCTAGCCATTCGACAGCTTGTATCGCAGCATTGACTCTGACGGCAGCACACACCGCAGAATTGACAAATTTGCCAAGCTTCTGAGACTCCTCTAGGCGATGTTTCATGCTGTGTCCAAGCCAGACGAACTCAGAGAGAACATCGATGGCCCGGGAATGAGCAAGTAACAACATCTTGCTGGTGCTGTACTTGTGATTATCATCGAGGAACTTCACAGTATTGATAGCTATTTCGAGGCGCTTGGCCGGCGAGCGTAGAGATGGAGTGGATGCTGCCGCCATGTAACAAGAGAGAGCTTCAGCAAAACGATCCGTCGTCCTTTCTTGGTGAAAGTAGGCCACCAGACAGCGCGCCAGATTATGCAGCCTGACAGCTTTGTCGGGATGATCATCTGCAGTCAGCTCGTTTGCACGCCGTGCAATCGAAATGGCGCTCTCAAGATCTTCGAGCTCTCCAAAGCGTTCGAAACGTAGCCACTGCAAAGAGCCGAGGCTGGCAAGTTTAATCGGAAAGTCAGGTAAGCTCTTCGGAGTAAGCTCGACAACGCGGTGTTGCATTTTGATAGCCCGCTCGAGATCGGCTGGATCGTCGAGATGCTCGAAGCGAGTGCACAAGGACGATGCGAGGTTATGCAGTCGGAGAGCTTTGTCGGGATTATCATCTGCAGTCAGCTCGTACGCACGCTGTCGATTCGAAATGGCGCTCTCGAGGTCTTCGAGCTCTCGAAAGCGTCCGAAACGCAGCAACTGCAAGGAGCCGAGGCCGTCGAGCCGACTTCGCAGGTCGGGCTCGTCATCCGGAGTGAGCTCGACAGCGCGGGACTGGATCTTGATAGCTCGCTCGAGGTCGGCGGGGTCATCGAGACGCTCGAAGCGAGTGCGCAAGGACGATGCGAGGTTGTGCAGCCATTTAGCTTTGTTGGGATAATCATCTGCAGTCAGCTCGTTCGCACGCTGTTGACTCGAGATGGCGCTCTCGATGTCTTCGAGCTCTCCGAAGTGTCTGAAACGCAGCATCTGCAAAGTGCCGAGGCAGTCGAGGAAAATCGCAAAGTCGGGATGGTCGTTCGGTGTAAGATTGACCGCGCGGCATTGCGTCGTGATAGCACGCTCGAGATCGGCGGGGTCGTCGAGACGCTCGAAGCGAGTGCACAAGGACGATGCGAGGTTGTTCAGCTGGGTAGCTTTGCCGGGATGATCATCAGGAGTTAGCTCGTTCGCACGCTGTTCATTCGAAATGGCGCTCTCTATGTCTTCCAGCTCTCCGAAGCGTCGGAAACGCAGACTTTGCAAAGAGCCGAGGATGGCGAGCCGATTCGAAAGTTCGGGATGGTCGTTCGGAGTAAGCGTGACTGCGCGTCGTTGCATTTCGATGGCACTTTCAAGATCGTTGATTGCGCCAAGGGATCCAAAGCGTCTTCGCAATGAGGCGCTGAGATTGCTGAGACACAAAGCCCTATCGGGGTGACCTTCTGGAACGAGTTGTAGGGCACTTTGAAACGCCGCAATGGCTCGCTGGAGGTCATTAGGGTCCCCTCGAGCCCAGTGGTATAGATGTAGACAGTGTCCTAGCTCGCCCAACAGATACGCCTTTGGTTCGGGGGCATCGTTCACCGCTTGTTGGAATAGTGCTACGGCGGTTTTCAGCTGTGCCACATCCCACGTTCTGTTGTAAGAAGCGTATGCTTGGTTGGCAGCGGCCACGACGTTCGGCTCTGAGCTGCTAGGGGATTGAGATTGCGCGATCGACGGAACCTGACGTTTGTCAGTCAAATTGGCCAAGATAAGACAACATTCCGGTTGTCAGGGAACTCACGTCCGGTGTCCCAGTGATGTGCCCTTTAGTCGTACTGGGTTCATTGGCCATCGTACAGAGGGCGATCTGCGGCGAGAGATCGCTAGTCTCAGTACGGCGCCATCGATGGAAGAGGAGGGATCTCACAGCGAACGCGCGGATGTGGGTACAAGAGAGGGAAGGGAGGAGAAGCTATGCGACGCATTCGTCAGGAGCCTAGATGTAACTTATGAAGTGCGGGTGAGAATGCTAGAACACCGTTAGTGCGCTGTGTACGTGTGGGTATTCGCGTGTTGGTACAGCCACACAGGTGGCTGCTGAACAAGCGACGGCGTGAACGTATGGCGGACCCTAGCAAGGCTATACGAGGCGTATACGGTCTCAGCGACCGTTGACAATTGGGAGGGTCTTCCTAACAGGAGGAATATATTTGACAATATAGATGCAGCACATGGAATATGCCGTCCCGTAGAACGCAGGCTGTGTGGGAAGACACGTCTAACATGAGGTGGGTGGGCGGTGCACTGACACCGCCCGCTAATCTCGGTGCCTCTCCCATCCGAACGTCGCATCAGCGCCCACAAGAACGCCAACTGCTTCGGTGCGTCGACAGGTGAGAGCGGACGCTCTGCAGAACCCAAGTACGACCACGGTCGTAGACAGACGCGCAACACGGCCTGCGAATCTCGCGGCAGAGTCTGGTAGGGTTTGGGCGCTTGAACTGAGTTTGCAAGCGATATCGCGGGATGGACTTGTTGTCTGACGCCGATCCGTCGCAGATATCTTACTGTAGGCCGATTAGGTACTTTGAGGAAGCGCGGGCCGGGCGCGGTAACACAGAGCGCTTTGTGGCCGTTTTTGTAGAATGTAGATGCCTTGAGCCTGTGATTATCATATTAGTACCCGAGATGGGGCGAACATGCGGGCATATACGCACCTCTACGCCTACCAGTAGCCCTTGCACCCCGTCAAATGAGCACAGGATACTCGACCGCTTATCCTACAGATATTCCTGCTATCGGTTTCTCAAAGACTACGGAATAGTATCAAGTCCAAGTAGTCATCATGGTGGTGTTTGCCAACCTTCGATCTGTTGCTCGCGCGACGCGTCTCGGATAGATAACTGCTCTTGCTTTCGTCCCATCTACATGTGGTACGTGATTTCTCCGCACGGGTCTGACTCACTGGTATACAAGCCTGACATAGCTACTGCTACTCTGATCACCGGCGCTCGCCGCGTGCTCTACCCGCCTACGGCGTGTCTCATCTATTCAAATAGGACTCCAGACTTGAATTGGCGCTGCGCTGATAGCAATGCCCTACTTCCCCTCATCTCACTCTGCAAGCAAGCAAGTTGAGGAGTAGATGGTAGTGTAACTCTCGAGATGCAAGCGACTCTCTACGCATGCGGAAGCCGCACACACCGCGGCTTCCTCGTGCCATCCGGATCCTCATCCCTCCCGAACGGCCAAGTAGGGACAACACACATTTCCTGCAGCCCGTCATTCAGCACTTCATCATCCTCATAATACCATAGCCCAAAAAGGTACGTACATCAACGGCACATCCGGGTCGACATTTGACCCACGCTTGCGTCCAATCGAGCCATCCTATCAACCCCTCCACCTCCGCCTTCATGAACTCCAGTACACTCAACACGCGCTCCTGCTCCAACATGTCGTTCTCGACGTCGAATGCGGCGTGGAATATTCTCCCGAGCCGACGGCATATCTCTGTCATGACGTCTTGTACCGCGTCGTATATGAGACGTTCTTGCTGTGTGAGCAACATGGCGGGTACACCTGCCGTATGTGTTGTAGCACAGCGTCGCACGACCGGTGCGAGCCAACTCTTGTTCGCGGTAGCAGTGTTGTCCAAAGGTACATCGTCCACAGTGAAGTACGGTGCCAGCATCGTGAGGACTTGTGCCCGCGCCTTCGCCGCTCGTTCTCGAACATCGGAGTACGACGCGTTCGCGAGCGTATGCGCGAGCAACTCCAAGCGCTGCGAATAGCGCTCGACGACGACATGCGTCACGCTGTCCCAATCAACGCCGCTCCCTCCATCTTCACTTCCATCCCAGCCTTTGATGACCTCCTCGAGCTCGCTGATCTTCAACGCCGCGTCTTGCTTCGAGATCTCCTTCAACCGGTGTTGCTCGCGCGGCTTCCCACGGCGCTCCTGAACCAAGCTCGACAGTACCGGATCGTAGAACGTGGTGAATTTGTGGTACAAGGGATGTACGCGCGTTTCTCCGGGCGCGAAGTCATGCCATTTTCCCGCAACGCGGACTTCTCCACCGGCGTCAGAGGGTAAAGCGCCCCGCCAGCCTGGTGGTGGCGGTGTAGGAATGCGACGCCCTGGACCGCGACGAGGAGGTTTGTTGTCGTCGTCTAGAGTGGAAGAGTTGCGTATGAAGTGCTCGGGAAGAAGGCCAAAGCCGCTGTTGTGAGGCAAGATCTTGCTAGCCGATAACAGCTCGAGACCGTCGGTGAAGTTACATTGCATGACTTCACTACAGTATCATCAGTCTATTTTCCGAACTTATAATGGAGAGAGAAACGTACAAATGAACTTCCATCCGTACGAAACCGTCTATACCTAACGGCCTCCCCCACTCACACAACTTCGTGATCTTCTCGCCTTCTCCACCTCCCCATCCCCCACCGCCACCCTTAACCTCTCCATACATCACCACCTCCTGAGAGTCGAGCGACCCATCACTAACTTTCGCCGCGCTCGACCCGTCAAAGTACAACAACTTCAGAGGACGCGTCGTAGCGAACGTAAGGACGTGGCCTTCATCGCCGTGTGCGAAGAAATACGAGTGTTCGAAGTCGAAAGCTAGCCAGTCGGGCTTAGAGGGAAATGCTGAGGATGGTCGGCCGTGATAGAGAACGGTGCCGGTGGGGATGATGGAAGGCACGATGGAGTGGCCTGTGTAGGAGACATGGTGGTCAGCGTCAAGTCGTGGTGAGGACGCCGGGCAGATCGACCCGCGCGCCGCTATCTGATAAGAGCGCATTGGGTGCGCGCGGGCGCCTGGCGCGAGTTGGATGCCGACGCTCACCTGGGCGGACGACCGTATTTGGCCAGCGCTGCAGCAAAGAGCTCACGGAGTTAAAGATGAGGTGGCCTGTCGCGTCTACGTCGGGCTCTACGTCCCAATCCTCGTCGTTGGGAGTCTCTAGCTGGAGGGGCGCCTGTGCTTCTGAATCATCGCGCTCGCCATGAAGAGCCCCGAGCGCAACAGAGATTCCCCCTGCAACTATCAGAAGGGTGGGACACGCTCTCATCTGAGCTGTCACTGAGACAGATGAGAGAAGTAGAAGAGCAAGCTCTTCATCGTCGGCGAGAAGCGCAGTATGCGCCCGTGCCTAGTGGTGCGCAGCAGAGCTATTTCAGCTCGACTCTCGAGATCGCACTGAAGATTGATTTCGTCCGTATATGCTACCAAAACTGAGATGTTACAAGCTGAGATTGTCAATCTAGATAGAACCGAAGGTGTCGCGTGTGTATTGTAGGTTCAATTGGACACTAAGCACCAAAATGCACGAATGTGGCCCACTTCATGACGTTGTCTCCGCCAACGCGCTCTCGAAGAAGTTTCGTAGCCTCGTGTAGCGCATACGCAGCGCCAGTCTCTCTTTCCAGAGTATCATAACTGCGTAACCTCAGCAGCTCCTTGTAGTACGCGTCAACAACGACTGGCGGCTCTCGGTCTTCGATCGACCACATTGTCGCCACTACGCCTTTGAACCCGGCGACGAGCATGCCCGCTGCCAAATGCAAAGACTCCTCTGGACACGTCTCGTCGCTTACAGCCGTCTGGTTCGCGGAAAGGAACGCGAGTTCTGCGTCTTCGGCCGTCGTGGCTAGAAGATCTGCGAAGGACAGCGGGCCGTCGTAGAGCGTGAACGCGTTCCGTGTCGCGTCGGCCTCGTCTCGGGATGTATTGCAGGCCAGATGTACCCAAGGGTACTGCGCGAGGCCAGTTTGGACAGATGCGACGGTCGCATTCTCGTGGTCCAGTAGGTGGCATTCGATTTCCGCGTCGGATAGGGTCTGCATAACTTGGCGGCTTTCCGCCGGGCTGTCTGAAAGCGGAGGAGCGCCAGGTACACTCGATTGCGCTACGATCAGCGTACTCTTCGGTATAGGTTGGTGCTTAGGGAGACCCTCATGACAATGCAAGAGCAAGGCCAAAGACGGGGTGTATGAAGATACAACATAGTTGGATACACGCGGACCGTCTGGGGCGCTATACATACCCGCGGCATGCAGAGGTAGCTGTGCGAGTAGTCCGGTTGGACACCAAGTGATGTGAGGTAATCGCTCGCCCGGATGGCTCTGGGATTCACCGTCAGTACCATCCATGGACGTTCATTAAGGAAGAATGCTCACCGGGTTCAGTAGATCCAACGCTTGCAAGACGGGCTTCACGATCCACTTCCACACATCCTCCATGACAGCTTGTGTTGACCTCAGATCATCGCGAGATTCATCGAGTTCGGATTCACGTAGCCCACCCTGGGCGCTCAGATTTGCGACCCAATGCGTGCACAACTCGTGAGCGCCCTTGAGCGAAAGCTCAGTAAGTGCCACATGCTGTATGGCCCCATCCGACGAAAGAATGAGAGCATCGCAGTGCGCCTCGTCTACGACGATGAACACAACAGACCCGTTCAGGAGGTTGAGTGACGGAAGAATCATGTCGAATGACTTCGGGCGCATGAACTTTTCGAAGCCCGGACACTCATTGACGATCTCTATGAGGCGTTCGTATTGGATAGCCAACATACGAAGATCCCCAGGGGACGAAGAGTCGTGTGCGGACTGTTGTAGTTGGACCTGGATATCGTGTAAAGAGCTAGCCAGCTCAGGGTGAACAGACTGCAGCTCATCCAGTGGCGCGCGTAGAGCCAGCGCCTGCGAGAGAATGACCGTCCTGCCCGCGTCGAGCCATTCTACAGCTTTGTCCAGTGCTCCAGCAGCGATAGAAGCATATACGGCCGCGCTAACGAGCGCGCCGCATCTCGCAGACTCTTGAGAGCGCCGATGTAGATCGTGGCCGAGCCAGACAAACTCGGGTATCATCGCGATGATATGTCCGTGTGCCGCCAAGATCGATTCGGCAGAGCTGAACTCGGGGTTGGCGGAAAGTAGCTCAATGAGCTGTTGTGCGGACTGTAGTCGTTCTTGAGGGCGGGAAGGTGCATGTGTCATGGAGTCCTTTAGCGCTTTAGCGGCCTCGTCGAAGTTAGCCTGCGAGGACAGACGTCCAAAGGCTTGCTTCTGGGTGATCCCGAAGTCGCGAAGCCTCGCGGACATCACATAGTGCGTATTGGGTGTAAGATCGACTGCACGCCGATGAATTTCAACGGCCTGCTCCAGATCATCGGCTTCTCCAAGCCTCTCGTACCGCGTGAGCATCGCGTTGCCGAGGGCACCCAGAGTCTCCGCCTTCGAAGGCGAGGTGTCCGGAGTTAGGTCCGTCGCGCTTTTATGCGCTGCAATGGCCCCGTCGAGATCTTCAAGCTCTCCTTTATGCGCGAAGCGTGCGAGCAGCGCTTCGCCGAGGCTGCTGTACCGACCTGCCTTCTTCAGTTGATCGTTGGGTGTGTGCTCGACCGCGCGCCGGAGCATGGCAACGGACTCTTCCATGTCGTTGAGCCCCCCGTTGAGCCGGAAGCGTACACGCAACGAGCGTCCGAGGCTCGTCTGCCGCTGTGGCGTGTCGGGATGATCGTCCGGAGAGAGCTCGACCGAGCGGCGGTGCTCCGCAATAGCTTGATTCAGGTCGTCAAGCGAACCTGTGCGCTCAAAGCGCGCAAGTAGCGCATCGCCGAGGCTGCAAAGCCGCTCCGCCACGGAGGAGTGTCCAGGCGCTGTAAGATCGACGGAGCAACGGTATAGCGCGATGGCACCATCTAGATCTTCCAGCTCTCCCACGCGCTCGTAGCGGACAACTAGCAACCGAGCAAGCGAAGTAGACCTGTCCGCCTTGTGTATGTGGTCATCCGACGTAAGGTCGACCGCACGGCGATAGGCTGCGATGGCTTGTTCCAGATCCGCGAGTTGGCCTGAGCGCTCGTATCGTGCGAATGATGAATCGCCAAGGGTCGTCGATCGCTCCTGGTGCTCTGTCAAGGTGTCGCTGGGAGAGCTGGGATCTGTGCCGTTGATCGAGGTCGACATCGGTGCAAAGTGTAAGTGGAATAAGGCGAAGATGGCGGTTGGGAATAGGGAAGGAGACAAATACGAGGACAGTAGTCCTCGGTCAGGCATAGCAAACTCCCACGGGCAACGATGCCGGAATATGTAGCGGAAACGTGGAGTACACAAAGGTGATAGACGCTCATATGCTGTTCAAGAGTGAGAAACCCATGATCGTGAATGACATCGGTGATGAATGCATGGCAATTGGTAATGTCAGCGTATCCATTATACATTTGGCACACGCATACACCAGGGCCGTCTTGTCTCGTTCAAGGCACTACCTAGCTCGTAGGGCCAGGTTGGAAGAACACACATTTCCTACCAAAACATCAGCAACATAATTGGACTCGAGATATTCAAGATATACCTCTGCGGAGCACCCTGGTCTGCATTTGACCCAAGCTGACGTCCAGTCTAACCACTCCATCAACGCCGCGACCTCCTCCCGCAGAATGCCCACCACATTCTCCACTCGTTCCTCCTCCCAGGCTGTGCTCTCGACGTCGAATGCGGCATGGAGCATCCTGCCTAACCTGCGACAAATCTCTCCCATAACCTCCTCTATCGAGTTCAGTATGAGACTTTCCTGCGGCGTCAGCAGGTCGGTCGGCACACCCGCCGTATGTGTCGAGGCGCAGCGCTGTACAACGGGCGCGAGCCAAGCGTTATCGGCAGTATCCGCGTCAAGTGGTGGCGTGTTTGTGATTGCGAAGTGCGGCGCGAGCATAGCCAGCACCTGAGCGCGAGCCCTCGTCGCTCTCGTCAGCACGTCGGGATAAGTCGCGTTGTCGAGTGTATACGCGAGTGTCTCTAGCCGTTGAGCATACCGCTCGAAGACGACATGTGTGAGACTTTTCCAGTCTGTCCCGCTCCCTTTCCGATCCCAATCGCTGAGCACTCCATCCAGCTCCCGTAGCTTCGCGTCTGCGTCCGCTTTCGATATCCCCTTCACCCGGTGCCCCTCCCGGGGCTTCCCACGGCGCAACTCGAGCAAGCTTGTGACAGCGGGATCGTAGAACGTGATGATCTTGTCGTACAGGATATGTACGCGAGTCTCTCCTGGTGCGTGGGCGTGTCCATTGGCTGCGACGCGAATGTCGTTGCCGGTTTCGGTCGGTAGGGAACCGCGCCAGCTGGACGGACGGTCGGCACGTTCGCCCCAGCCTGGACTACCCGGGCCGCGGTTCGGCGAACTGATGGTAGCTGAGATGGACGAGTCGTTGTAGGGCACGTAGGGCATGGCTTCGATCGCAGATATGAGCTTGAGCCCATTGGTCATGTCGCAATACATGACCTCACTAGCAAAAGGTAAGATAAGTACTGGAGCAAATCAAAAGCGAAGATACTCACAAGTCAATCTCCATCCGTACAAATCCGTCCAGACTCCGCTGCCTCGCCCATTTGCACAGTGTCTCAATGCGCTCGTCCTCGTCCTCCCACGGGTCTTCTTTACGGCGACCTTTCACGTCTCCAAACATCAGGAGTTCCTGAGTATCGCTCGATCCATCTTCTATCTTCGCGCCGCTGGAGCCGTCGAAATACAGCATTCGGAGTTTGCGAGTTGTCGAGAAAGTGAGGATGTGCCCGCCGCGCCAACGCGCGAAGAGGTAGCCATGTTCAGAGTCGAAGGCGAGCCAGTCAGGATATGTTGGGGTTTCTGAGCCAACTTTGCCATGGTAGAGCAGAGTTCCGGGTGGTATGATACATGACGCGATTGTATGTCCTGGGAGCGCGGGATGATGGTGGTTAGAGTCAAGCTGCGACGCGACTCATCGGACGCGATTTGCTCGCGACACTCACCTGGGCGCACGACTGTATTTGGCCAAAGCTGCAATAAGGAATTCACCGCATTGAAGAGATGATGCCCGGTAGCATCTACATCTGGTGCTACATCCCATTCCAGGTCTTCAGTGCTTTTGATCAACAAGGGCGCTTGTGGGTCGTTGTCGAGTCCGCTGTGTCCAATGCCCACTCGGCCGAGGACAACGGGAGCTACGATGAGCAAGAGGATGACCCGCATCTGTAGTCAGGGTGGAAGATAGCCCGTGCAGGCGTATGCAAGGCCGGGGTACAATGCCCGAACAGTCTTCAGTTGGTTCACACATGGGCGCTCGACGTCTAAATGCGTGCACAGATGAATCGCCTTGCCATTGTCGCGGTGAAGGATATCAATGGACGCCGTCGGAGTTACCGTCGGATCATGTCGGCTCGGAAGCCGGGCTGAGGAAACGCGTGTTCTGAGAATTACTCTCCTCCCACCACCATATACATGCCACCATGGGCTGACGCGCTAATGCCAATGGTGTACCCAATCTACTGCACGAGATACCTTCCTCAAGCGCAAAATTCAACGCTCGTTTTTCATGCCCATTCACAAGAGTACTTCCGCACCAATCTTCGCCCATGGATTCTGGCTATCGCAGGACAGAGGAGCTTGCGAGTATCGCACATCGACGAGCAAGACCCGACGTCGCACTTCTACGCTTTTCCGGAGTGCAATATTGCATTTAGTGTGCTTCGAGTACGATAGAACAAATCCATGCTACAGCCTACACGTCCGATGCATGATGAAACGCGAGCGAACATCGCGGCACCGACCCCACGGGCCACTACGTGATCTGGACCACCACCCCCTTCTAAGCGTCTAGATCCGGACCAAAATCCGGTGCAACAGTACTGTTCAGGGTTTGGCGAATGTCACCGACGTAGTTCTGGGGTTTCACTCCATCGGCAAACGTGTCGTTCCAGCCGCCGAGGATGCCTTGCACAACCTGCACTCCTGCGAGGTAGATGTTCATGACAGCCGCGTCGTACCCTGCATCCTGACCATTGAAAAGGTTGTCTGCGGCTGTCTGGTTAGGGGCGGGTCTGTCGAAGTCCGACGCAGTGCGCATCGACATAACGCGTGTGAAGTCGACAAGACCGGCGACGTTGGCGCGCACCAATGCCGCTAGGACCCCGCTGTCCTCCTGCTGCGTCGTGCAATACTGAGAGGAGCCGTTTGTAAAGAGGGTCATCGTGTTCTCGAACGTATCGGCGAGTATATCTCCGGAGAACCTGAAGGATGCGCGTGAATACCCTCCGGTAAGCAGCACAGGATGTATCATACTCACCAGACGTCTGACGTGGCTGTATCACAGGATAGCACAGAGGGCGGCAACAGTGCTGGAAGGAAATTAGCTTCGCTAGCGTACGTCTCGCGGTACGCTTGTGCGGAGGCGGAGTCGTTCAACGTCGCCCTACGTGCAAAGCCTATCGCATGGCGCCTCAATGCATCGTTCAACTCAAAGACCTCGGTTCCATAGATGAACCCCGGGTATTGGCCATAACCCGTTGTTCCCTGCGGAATGTAGCCGGTCGGGGAGCCCTCTGGTCGTTCTCGCGCGTCGAACTCATACTGGAGGGCGACCTGCACTGAAAACCGGGCGAATGCGACTGACGCAAGGGTCCCGACTCTGGGGTTGATTCCGGCGTCGCCAGCGAGGAGAAAGTAGCTGCTCGTGAGGTTGAACATCGGCGAAAGAACAAATGCGGTTGTGCTGGCCGCCGCGTTTATCTCGCCCTCGTCGGTGATGAGTTGACAGATCTCGCCATTAGATGTGCAGTGGACATGAGGGTACATGCTCGACAAGCCAGGGACGCTGATGTTACGCGCGAGCAAGTCGAACTCAGGAATCCCGTGCCAAATATTAGCCTCGTCGTTGTACTGGTTGATTGAATGAGTTCAACATGTTTACAGGTAGAAACCGTGTCACGTACGAAATCAACAATGACCACCTTAGGGGTGATAACCTTCGCGTAGCCCATTAAAATGCCGGAGAAGAAGAAGGGCAAGGCGCAGAATCGCTTCATCATGTGGGAAAACAGTGCGTATACGATGAGACCGCAGAGGAAGACACTTGAGAACGTCAGTTGTCCTTGTCCTACGGGCATTCAAGTGCGAGCACGGCACTGGCAATGCTGACGCAACGATGTTATATCCCACCTATACCGGTAGGAACGGGGTTCGGGTCAGCGATCCTCCGCGCATGTCCGTACCGTCAATACCGCAGCGTTCATCTATCCATTCTAGAGCCTACGATCGTACGACGCACAGCTTCTATTCGCATCATCATAGGATACGGTTTACAATCTGCCGTGCCGCCCTTCGCGGCCTCTCAGAAGACCCCACATGCGTCGGTGACAGGCTAAGTGACCGCGACGTGCACCAGTCGAGGTGCCTGTGTGTACCCCAGGCTATGCGTGGAAGAGAATGATCGTATCTACATGAGAACCTGCCATCTGAAGCGGCTAGCTGGACACATGTATCACAAGGCGAAGCCACTCTTGAGAGCCGTGTTGGAAGATGTATAACGTTCGTCGTGATCGGTTCTCAAGGAAGGCTAGAGAATGTAAGGAAGCAGTGCCTCGCCGATACGTCGAGGGAGAAGCACAGACAGAAGCAGCTCAGGCGGTGATTCACCGGTTCTCACAAGCTCCTTCATCACTTGGAATGCGGAACTTTACTAGGCGTGACGCGTGAAAGGGGGTAGAACGGTATCCGCAAGGGTCCTTGGAATCCGGAGAAACGTTTGAGCGCTTTGAGATCGGTGCATCACTGTTGTACAACAATAACATTAAAAAGCATGTACTGAATAGGCACTAATCATAGTTATCAAGCTGGATGAGACCCGTACTACTCGTTCGCTCTCCGTTGACACTAATCAGAGTTTCATATCGGACAATGCTTCAGCCGGCATGCCCTTAGCATCGTCATCCGGAGCCTGCGACTGAGCATCCAGATCTGCGCCTTCCGTACCGGTATGAGCCAGAGAGGGCTCGCGGTGCACTTGCCGCAGCTCCGTGACGTTGATATCGAGGACGTGAGCCCGTCCTGGTTTGACAAAGGCCTGTTTGGCACGAGATCCCACACTTGCAGAACCCCAGTCAGATCGGCTGCCAGAAGGTGCCGAGCGTATATCGGACTGAAGACGTGATTGGGAGTATAGTGTCCCACTTCCACTCGACGAATTCGTGACTCCATCGATGTAAGACTTCTGCGAGTGGACCAGTATGACGACGAGAACAGGGTATATGCCCTATACGGGAATGGTAAGAGCCATGAAAGGTCCAGCAGATTAACGAACCACTCACCAGGATGTGGCTGGTCATGTATGTCCAAATAGTACTCGCAAACGCCAACTGTGGCGTGGATGTTTCCAGGTCTGGCACGTTTCCGACATCGTCGACCACAGCAGAAAGCTACTTCACAGTTGAGTGCATTCTCGAGGAGGCACAAGGATGCACATACACAAAAGAGGAAAAACAGAACACCAGACTCAATCAAGATCGTCATGATCTTCTCAGCGCGAGTCTTTCGGTTCGTAGAGCGGAAGGAAGAGCCGATTGTGCGTCGGTAGACCCTGTATGACCCCATGATGAGCGGCGGGTCTACCGATACTATACGATCAACGCGTACCAAGTCTTCCAGCAGATCATACCTGTAGCGACGGCTGTCGTTACTAGAGTCGTAGAGTACGCTGCAAGCTGCACATTGACGCAGAACGGTGGGTTAACGAAGTCGCCAAGCTCAGGGTCCGCGTCTAGCTTCGCAACACAGAAGGAGATGAGGCAGGATGCCGCTGGTGTACAATCAGCAACGCTGACGGATATTCCGCAAGGCTGACGTACTGAATGAGCCCAAGAGTAGAGCCATTGGAACGAGCATAACCCAGCGTTCGCGAGGTTGAGACCAGAATACGTAAGTTCTCCATATGATGACGACGTCCCCTAGATTCATCTACGCGCGGCATCGCTATCGTTGAGTGCAGTTCCGGAGAGGACGGTCGCAGAAGCCGGATGGCGCACCATAAACGCATACAAGGCGTTCTCCACAGGCCAGGGTAAAACCAGGTTATCATATCTGTCGGCGAGAGAATCCGCAGACGTGGAAGTGAGGGTGAATGTGATCTCCCGAATGGCGTTATTAACATCGATGATGCAGGTCGCCGTGTCCAGCATGAGCATCGTCACGATGACCCCGAATATGGCGACCGAGAACTTCGAGCGCGCCTTCTTCTTCCTGATAATGATTATGCTATAGTCAGTCCCATGTACATTTGGGGGCGATGTGGCAAGCGACGTACAAGAGAATCCGGCCGCAAAGGACGACGAGAACGAAATAGATCGCTTAGGGACGTGTAAGTGCTTGTATTTTGCACTTCTGCACGAACCACATAGCGCTCGTGCCAAAAGAAGAAGTCTTACTGTAAAGAATGGACTCTACGACGAGCGCGACGATAGTCTGTATGGTATCATTCCCGATGCTGTTGAGGGTCGCGATGTCCGAGTCCGAGAGAGTAGAGTTTGAGGGACTAGAAGACATGGCGCAGACACCAGCCGAGCGATGGGTCAGGTAGGAACCGCCTCGAAGCGCAGGAAGGGCTGTGCTATGGGCCTTACATAGTAACACGAGTTTCACTCGCATTGTAGCTTGCCAATGGGATACTACTCAGATCCTGATGTCGGATACTCGTCGGGCCGCATTTCGAGCCCGCTTCAACGACTGAACCAGGTCTGAGTAGACTACTTGATAGGCACTGAACTCAAGAGTGACCTGTGAACATGCACCGAGACGGTTCCCGCTGCGTTTGGAGGGATAGGCTCGCTACGCCTCGCATCTCTGATAATGCTGCCGATCCTTGGTCGCAACTTTGCGGTCCATCTGTAACGCCCCGTTTGCACTATTGAGTCAGATAGAGACGCACAACTGTCGCGCTGGAGATGATTATCACAGCTAGAGCCGTCTAAAGTCGCTTGAGAAGAGGCTCCCGTGCATCAGGAAGAAGTTCGAGCGGGAGAAGCCTCCGTGGATGTCGGCGCTCTGCCTTCGGGTCGCCGAATCGCCGTCTCATCTCCTGAGTGCTTCATGCCACACAAGGCTCGTTCAGATGAGAGGTAGGTCCGACGCGCTGATGAGGGAGAGGAGCAAGAGTGGGCAGTGGGCATTGCGGGGCATGCGGCTCCGGAGCATCACAGATGCCGACGGCACCGTGGGCCGGTCGCGACTTGCCATCGCCCACCATGACCGCTGTGCGCCTGCGCACAATGGTTCACCCAGGCGGTGAACACCCGTACGGATGCTGTTAGATGAGCAGTCACCGCGTCAAACTCAAGAATACCTTCTATGGCTAGTTAGCACTGGTGCCTTGTCAGGCTTTCAGCGCGCAGGGACTTGTGTCCACTACTCGGAAGCCTGAGAGAACACTCACATAGCTGGCGGGAGTCGGTATATGCATGCTTTCACTGGCTAGGGCTGATTTAACTACTTCTGTACGCACGCATCACTGTCCTTTCGTTTTATTTGCTTAATTTTGTGCACAGTTGACGTTTACCGGCAGTGCCGCCGTGTATCCGAGCTCAATCTCCATGGCAGGTCACACAGACGGCGGTGCGATGATAGAGGCAGAGAACGTGATGCATGATGATCATGCAGTCTCAGCAAGTGCTCGCATAGGGTAAGTATCCATTGTCTCATATCTACGATTCCACTGAAGTCTTTACAGCCTGTGGAACTCGGGCTCATCATGCCATCAAGTGCACCTGAGTTCAACGCATTGCAGTACGGACCTGATAACAACTGCCTCACGAGAAGCTCCGTGACAGGTACAGGTGCCACGATGGGACTGATACCCGGTCAAGTTTCCAGCCAACCTGTGCGGAAGATGACCTGTGCATCAATGTTGACGAGGCCCCGATGTTCAAGAAGTCTCTCTGCTGCCACACGTCGGCCAAACTTATCGGGCAGACCCATAAGACTGCGACAACCCGCGCACGTTCGTGGCTCCAGTTAACACCCTATCACGAGCAATTGGGTATCTCTGCGTCGTCGGACGGTGCGGCGCTGGTTGCAGGTACGGTGGATTCATGGATGAGCCTCTCAGGCCTCAGGTTGGCACCTTCAACTGATACACCAAGCCACGATGGTGTTCAGGCGGATTGCGCAGAGGGTTGTGTGTTGTAGTACACCATGTAACCATGTCTATATGTAGGCCGACGCATACGCATTCTACCCGAGAAGTCCGTGAACTCCGTTGGCGATGAAATACGCCTCATCGAGAGCGTCCAACACCCATGTGCTTGGTATGGGCAACTCAAATTCAATAGCCCAGGATGCCAGCTCCTCCCTTCGCAGTGGCACCGCGCCGCGCTCAGCTATAAGACACCCCAAGAATGCCACTGCATCGGGCATATCATACGGACGTGCTCCCGCTTTTGATAGTCGGTCGACTTTAGTGATGAGCGAAAAGCGCCATGGCGCGGCGTAGACCGTGAGGCCAGACGCATGAAAGACGATTTCGTTTTGCTGGAGCGCTTCCTCATATAGCTCTCTGAGAGCATGGTCCTGTGACGGCCTTGAGATTCTGTTATACGTTGATCCCGAAGCACTGACCTGCACGTAAAGCGCAACATCATCGTTTAGCCAGCCTTCCTGTAATCCAAGGCCCTTGCACGCCGCAGATGTAGCAGCGGTGAGGACACGCGAAGTATCGACTGTCCGCGCTTTTGTGCGGAAGAAGCCGTCGACATCGGTTGTAGATTGGCGAGTATGAAGTAGCATCGTGTTAACTATACCTCCAACGACGACCATGTTGATATTCAATCCCTGCCCGTGCACAGCGGCGGCGACGATCGACAAACCGTCCCGTATTTGCTCTGGCGTGAGCTTCGAAGTATGCGTCATCGCTATGTCGTTGAGTTCCTGGCAGCGTGCGGTGATATGGGCGTACCGATGGTCTTCCAAAGCGGTAGTGCATGCGCATACAAAGCGAGGAATCGGCGGGTATTTATCATTTAGCCATTCGCTTGCATTACCCCAGAGCACTTAAATTATCTCAGCTCAGTACACCTGTACAAGATTCCGTACCTACGCCGCTCTCGCGCCATCATGTATGCGTCCGTAAGCGATCCGTGAATTGCGCTGGTACAATCCATCCGATGTATCTACAGTGTCCCGCCTCCGAACTTCAGTATGGAAGACCATCCGTGGGGAGCCGCAGTTTGGTCATAGAACCGTGAGCGTCGGAAGCCCGGTCAGTGTTCCTCCTAACAGGACTCGGCTTATCAGCGATAGTGAGAACAGAGTAAGAACATGGTGGTGGAGGACAAACGTGCGCTCGACAGGCCAACTCATGATTTGCCGGGTGATCCGTTCCCCGCGTGACGCTCGCACGAATGTAGTCGTCCATCCCCACCACCACCTGCTCGACCATGATACCAACCCACAGAACATCTCAACTGGATAGACTTCGTGCGCAAGGCCATGTATCTAGGCCTTCTCTCTGCTCATGACTGCTGTCTGTTTGAGGTAAAGATTCCCCTGATCATCCGGCACGTCGGCCAAGCAGCGACGGCTCGTGCGAAACGGTGAGGACCACGCAAGCCATATCGACACACTGTATAAATGAGATATACTCTGGAAGGGTCTTCAAGGGCCTGTTTGGGTGACCGCGCTGTAGCGATTGAAACTACTTACTTATGATGCGCGGGATCGTACACCCTCTCATTTTTTGTTCAGAATTGTAGATGATACTGGGCATTTACTTATCAAGTAGTCTACATCACCTTTGAACATAACTAGTGAAGAAGCACGTCACTTCTTGCCGTACTCTACCCTGTTGTTCACCCGTCATGGTCAGAATTTGTCTGCGTAACCACACGGGTTTAATCCGCATGAATTTCGATATACGCCGACGTTATTCGATGGCCCATCGATCGCAGTGCTTGAAGTGACGCCGCCGGCGTGTCGGCGAGCTGGACTTCATTGTCCAAATATTCACAATTTACGAGGATGGTGGTGGAAGAAACTAAGGATCTAATCAGGGGACTGATCAAGAACCAGTGCGTGGCATGCACGTGTGGTGACGTCGGAGATAAATTGAGCGGAACGCGCCCGAGCCCTCCGCCGCTGCAACCTCCGGGGTTACTACATACCTCGGAATACCCTTTACCTTCTACATCCACCACGACCACCATCGCCATGTCCTCTGAGCCCGCTCCCGAAAGTACCCTCCCGTATCCGCCCCTGTACGAGGGCAAGAAATTCGTGGCGCTGTCCGACTGGTTCGTCCGCTGAAGCTCTGCCGCGAGCCGGGATTACGCCTGCAAGTTCATCCCGTCCGTTCACACTTCGTATCCAGGGATGGCACGATCACGAACCTCGACTCTAATGACTGTCAGTACTCCGATCACGGGTGCCAACCTTGCGCTTCAGCTGAATCCCTAATTCCCAGACTTGACTGACAACTACGGTTTCGGCTTCGATGAGCGCCGCAAGATCAGCGAGAAGATCTTGCACGGCGAGGTCACTTTCCGGTAAAGTGGCTTCCAGTGTGTATTGCCCACTGTGCTGACTGGGTTGGCAAGCGATGGCTTCTTCGAGGAGATGGTCAGCGTCTCGAAGAAGGGCATCACCTATGAGCAGGCCAAGCAGATCCTCCGTGAAAGTAAGTGTAGTTACACTCCGTTCAGATACTCGATCTGACCTGTATCCAGATATCTCCCTCGACCCAGGTTTCAAGGACTTTTACCAGTTCAGTCAGGCGAATGACATCCCCGTCATCATTGTCTCGAGTGGAATGGAGCCCACGATCCGCGCTGTACTTTCCAACCTCCTCGGCGAGCACGAGAAGGACATCCACGTCATCTCGAACGACGTAGACCTCCACCCCGATGGCACCTGGTCCGTCAAATACCGCCACCCGTCTTCGGGCTTCGGACACGACAAGAGCCAAGCCATCCTTCCCTACCGCCGTCTCGCCAACCCGCCTTTCACGTTCTTCTTCGGCGATGGCGTGAGCGACTTGAGCGCTGCTCGTCACGCCGATATGCTCTTCGTCAAGGAGAAGCCAGGAGGCGAGAACGATCTTCACCGGTTCTGCGTCAAGGAAGGGATCAAGCATGTTCTCTTCCATGACTTTAAGGCCGCGCTTACGGCCGTCGAGTCGATCGTGAAGGGGGAGAAGACCGCAGAGGACTGGTTCGCCATCGGTCGTGTTTAGATGTCTCGATATACCATCTAGAAGACCGTAGAACTCAACAAATGTACATTTTGCTCGCAGCGCTGGCTGTATATAGACCTTCCGCGCATCACCCAGTCTGACAGTACATCTGTCTATCCACAATGGCATTATGACAGTAAGGGAAGAGGAAAGGATATCTACAATGCGGGGTAATTTTAGAGTAAGATCTCAACACTGATTGAACGAGAGCAGCAAGAGTGAGCAGATGGCAGAGGAAGAGCGGAAAGCAGCTCGAGAGGGGAAATGGGTGACTGGGTGAGTACGGGGAAACATATGTACGGTGAAGCAGAGTGAGGTCAGAAAGCAGTAATTGATAAAGATACTAGGGAAGGGGGTAGTAATGTACGCAGAGACGCGCATCCACGGGGCACAAATCAGAGCACAAGAGGGAGGGAGGATGAAAGAACGAGTCCGCGATAGGCAAGCACAAAGAAGACTAGAACCGATTCATGATCGACTCCCGTACCCGCGACGTCCGCCGTGGGCGCACAGTAGCCGAGCGCGAATGCATGGTGGCCTCGACATCACTCTCGGCCTCGCTCTCAGCGTCAGCATCGATGCTAGGCCGGCTTTCAAGGCTGGGTCGAGGATCGTACGCATAGTCAGGCGGGACCGGGAAATCGCTCAAGCCGCTCATACGGCTTCCGACGTCGGAGCTTCCATTGGTAAGGTAGCTCGAGCGACTCCGCTCCGTATGCGCGCTTCGCGGTGGGACGAGCCCCGAGCTGACGCTCGAGCGTGCGCCCAAAGGCGAGATGCCGCCCATAGCGCTCAGCCGGCGCAGACTGGGCGACACGCTGTTGGAGAAGTCGCGCATCGGGCGCACAACGCTCTCCTCCGTCTCGCCTCCAGAATCGACGTCCTGCTCCGGCTCGTGCTCGTGCTGCACACGATGCTCGTTCTGCTGCACATACACCGGCGACTCGCTGCGCCTGTACGGTCCAGTGACCATATCGAACCGCCGCGTGAGCTCATCCGAGCCCATCTCCGTCTCATCAGCAGTCGAGTAGGCATCGCTGGCGAAGTAGTCGACGTTTCCGAGGCCATGTCCAAGTTCCGTTGTGTTGTCGGCAGTGAAGTACCCTTCGGCGTCGGTGTCCTCTGCAGTTGAGGTGTGTTGCAAGGGCGTCTCACGAGCGCTCACGTACGGGCCAGGCGTTGCTTGACCGCTGTAGAGGCCGGGCGTATCGAGAGCACTGGCGTACGGACCGGGCGTCTCACGCGAACTGGAGTACGGGTTCGGGGTCTCCCGTGCGCTCACATACGCGCCCGGAGTCTCGACTGCACTGGTGTACCCACCAGCCGACTCGGCAGCACCAGCAAAGTAGCCGTAGTCCCGCCCGCGTACGTTCGAGCTGGCATAAACGCTGAGCGTCGACACACTAGAGCCAGGCGTCGGCACGCCCGGCCGCGCACCGGGAGTCGGACCGGAAGGCCGAAGGTAGCTCGACTCCGGCGACGAGGATACGGTGCGCGCCGCGATCTCAGGCGAATGGGTGGGGGTGGCCAGTGTAATGGCTCGCGGGCCGAAGGTGTCGCCAACGGCGTCGGCACGCTCAAGAGCGGAGTTGTTGTGCTCGGGCGAGTACCCGTTGTCCGCGGCGGCAGACGAAGGTTCGGAGGAAAAGTGGGCAAGCTGCGAGGCGCCGCTGATGGATAGATGGCGAGAGAAGCGGTGGTCGTACTGTTCAACGGCCTCGGGGGTAAGTGCAGCCTCGATCGCACCAACGCGGAGGATATCTATGGCTTGATGTCAGTCTACCGCGATTTCAGCTAGAACAAGTCAACGTACTGTCTTCGTGAGAGAGCGTGGACTGCTGCAATGGACTGCTAGAGCGCGAGCTCCCCGCACTCTCCTCAGCTTCCACATCCTCCGGTATGCCTGAATCTACACATTAGCACACTCCCTCACCCAAAGCCAATCAAGCACAACTCACTGATCCTCGGCGGCGCAAACGCATGCATCCTAAGCGGCGCCGTAGGACTCGGCTCCTGCCCCGGCGGCGCCCCGCCAATCTCAGCCGGCCGCTCCCCATACAACCCGCCCAGCCTGCTCCCCCACCGCTGACTATGCTCCTCCGTCACATCCTCGCCTCTCAACGACGCAGAGTCCCCCGACGCCGAAGACAGACTCGTCCCGAACGACGGCCGATACCGGATCTCCTCCTGCAGCGCGCCGAGCTCCGCGCTCAGTTGCCGCGTCAAGTTCGTCAGACCGCTCCCCGCACGGCTGCTCCGGCTCGCCGCATCAAACTCGAGCGGAATGCTCCTCGGCGAGCTGAGATCGGTCGCGGCCGCGCGCGGCGAGCCGAACTCGTGCATCCTATCGCGCGGCGAGCCGACATACACCGTCGTGCCGCCTTCCTCCTCCTCCTCCTCTTCCTCCTGCTCGCTCTCATCATCATCGCCCACAGCATCCTCCAAACGACTCGCCACCACTTCCGCGCGAACCGGGCTCGGCGAGTGCACAGACGGCGCAGGCGGCGTGTCCGCGGGCCGATAGAACAGATCGCGGTACCGCGTCAGATCCTCGCCGCTCCCGAACGGCTGACCGGGGCTCACACTGTCGCTCCGCTCGTTGCTCGGCGTGCTGCTCGATCCAGGACTGGCCGCGTCGTGCGGTGCTAACAATCTCCTCAGATCGCCATCAGAGTCGGGTGTCGAGCCCTCCATAGCGAGCGCATGACGTGCCAAAGCCGGCGCATTACCCAGCACATCGTCGCCGCGCGCCGCATATGCATCCTCAGCGCCGGGCGAGTACGGCTCGACGCTGTACACGCTCCCAGGTGTCCACTCGTACTCGTCGCCCTCCGCACCTTCACCCTCTCCATCCTGCGCCCTCGAAAGCGCCAGGAACGGCGCGGGGCTATGCGCGAGCGCGTCGCGCAGATCGGACGCGGGGATGTTGAAGACGAGGCTGTCGGGGCGAAAGGGGTTGACGCTCGCGGGCGGGCTGCTCGCGACTGTATGTGCCGAACGCGAGCTGTTCGCGTGGCTGAGCGGGCTCTGGAGTAATGGAGGGCGACGCGAGCCAGGGGGGCCCGTGAGAGGCGTTTCGACGGCCAGCCAGTTCTCCGCCGGCGAGCGACCCAGTAGTCCGGAGAGCATCTGCGACGACGGCGCAGACTGCGAGTCGGGGGAGAACGCGGGTACACTGGGCGTCTGCGAGGGCGTATTGGCGCCAGGCGTCCGCGCGAAGATGCCGTGCGTGGACGTGCTCGAGTGCGGCGTCTGCGGTGCAGTAGGCGGCGCAACGAGCAGCGGACTGGGCGGGACATTCATGGGCTTCGCGCGCGGCGTGATGGGGTGTGCACCGGCGACAATCACCGGGCTGCCTTTACTCGAGCTCGCGCCGTCCTCGCGCGTCCCAGCCTCGACACTATCCCCCAGCCCCGAATCGACACTGCCCCGACGACGCCGTGCAAGCGCAAGCACGACCGCCTCGCCAAAATCAAGCGGCGTGGCGCTCTCCCGCGCCGCGCGCGCATACGCATGCGCAGCGCTCAACGGGCGCCCTCGCGCGTCCCTGCCCTCCTCAACCTCCAGCTCCCCACCCCGCTCCTCATACGTCTCCACGACAGCCCTCGCCTTGCCCTTCCCGACCTTCGGCGCACTGAGTATAGGCACCGGAACACCCCCGTCCTCATCCCTCGACCCAAACGCGTACGGATGCCTCACATGCGGCGGCAGCCGATGCCGCGCAACGACGCTATCCACGACCATATCCCGCGGCACGTTCACAACCGGGCTGCTCGGATGCGGGCCCGCATATTCACTCCCGCTGCCCGCGCTCTGGTTCTTCCTGTGCATATGGTGCTGAGGTGAGGACTTGGAGCGCGCAAAGCCGGCGTAGGGGTGGTCCGGCATGTCCCATTCTTCCCTCTCTTGCGGCGAGGGGCCGGCGTCGACCGGGCTGATCGACGGAGTAGAGATCGCGATGCCGAACACGCCTTCGCCGTCCGGTCCGAGCGAGCCCGACGGCGACGGCGTCTGCTGCTCGCGCGAGGACGGGTACCGCGCGGGGTCAGGCACGAGCAGCACCTCCGGCGACGTGCGCAGGAGGTTGAACGACGAAGAAGCGGCGGGCTCGACGGCGTAGTCCTTGCTCTGCGCGTACATCCTTGTGTACTCCGGCGCCATGCGCGCGAGCGCAGCGCTCGCGTTCTCGCCTACTCGCACGGAGGCGTTGCGCTGCAACAGCGGCGACTTGTCGTCCGGGCCGAAGTAGGACGTCTTCTCCAGCGCGGGCGTCTGTTCGAGGCCCTCATTCCGCAGCGGCGCGTACTCCGCCGGGCTCCCGCTCTCGCCACCAACACACGACGCCATCCCATGCGCAATCGCGCGTCCGAGGCTGCCTGTCCTCGCATGTCCCCGCGCATCGCCCTGCCCGTGCCCGTGCCCGTGTGCGCTCGCATGCCCATGCGCGCTGACACTATGCCCGACCGAACTGCTATGCCCATGCGCGCTCCTCTTGCTCGCCGTCCCCACACCCGCGCCCGCACTCCGACTACTCAAGCTCCCAATGCCAAAACTCATCAAGCCCGTTGTATCCGATCCTTCGTGCACCGTCGCCGCGCGCGTCTGCCCGCCGAGCAGCAAGGTCTGGAACCGCGGTAGGGGCGGTGGGACTTCATCTTTGAGGTTTGAGGATGAGGGGTGGGCGCGGGAGAGTGAGCGCGCGCGGGCGCGGCTGATTGAGCGGGTGTGTTTGGAGAGGAGGCCGGAGGAGGCTTGGGCTTTCCATGCTTCGCGTTCGCGGGCGAAGGAGGTTTGTGTCTCGATGACTCTGTGGATGGGGCGTGTCAGTATATTAGGAAACGTGAGGTATGGTAAACATTGTACGAAACAAAAAGATGAAGTGAAGAAGGGTGAAGACGAGCGTGATGACCAACGCTTTGCGCTCGCCATCGTTCGGGAAAGATACCCCCGCGAGCGCACCAGGAGGTCCCCGCGGTGGTAGCACACACTGTAACAACGCGCGCGCAAAGCAGAGATCAGATGTACTCTGAATGAACAGCAATGAGCTGTTTTCGGACCTAATGTGCACCATCGGCTATGGTCAAATCGTCTGGCGAACCCAGGTAGTGGATAACCCGTCGGCTGCCACCCACACGAGGATCCATTCCCCGCAAGCCCGCCTCGTAGGGCGGGATTGGGGGTCATCAGCCCCGTGTGGGATGTCACTCGCCTCTGTCGCTTTGAGGTCTGGAATCTAGCCGATCCATCCTCTGAACAGTGAACACTTCCATCCCGGACGCGGCACTCCCACGTCGTCTCGCTCAAAAGCACCCAACCGCTCTGACGCGGCCTGCACCGGCGAGGGATACACTCGCGCCGCCCTCTGCACATCGCCGTTTTTGCAGCATGTCCTCATCCATCCATATAATCCAACCAAAGACGCGCGACCAACGCGCGCCCCGTACCCTATCATCTGGTGACCACCGCAGCGCGCCGACCGCACCCAAGCGCTGAGCGCCGAGATGCCCGTCAAGCGTGCGCGGGACCGCGGACGAAGGGCGCGAAGCAACGACGCGGTACCGAGCATGTGCCCGAAAGCAGCAACGAGTGCGAACGCAAGCAGTGACGTCGCTCGCACAAGATGAAAACCCAGCAACACGCCTTCCTCGAAGGGATAGAACGAGGACAAAGCAAGCGCCCGATCGGGCATTCGAAGCGCCACAACACCTTCTTCCCCGCATGTCGCGCGGCACAACTCAAAAACAGGCGCCCGACTTCATAAAAAGTCCGAGGAAGGTTGAACGAGAAGCCCGAGGCGCAGAAACGATACGGGCAATGGGGATAGAGAAGAGAAGAGGAGGGGGGAGGAGGGGGAAGAAGCGCACCGTGCTAGACTGGGCACCGGGCTCGGCAGCGCCAGATCGTCCGCCGCAAAACTCCTCGGCCGGCCGTTCGGTCCTCTGATATTGAGCACGGGCTCAGCCTTCGGCGGCTGATTCGCATTCGCGTGTTGATGTTGCTGCGACCCTCGCAGATTATGCGCGCTCCGGCTCTTGCTCAGTGTCTTGACGTTCGAGCTTGAGGAAAGGTTCGAGAACGCCGAGGGCGGGTGCTGGTGATGTTGAGGAAGCATCGACGGGCCGGCGTGGGGAGACTGGATCTGGATCGTGACTGTGGCCATGTCCCGATCTCGTAAGTTGAGGACGTCGCGCGAGGGCTGCGAGCGGAGCAATGGCGAGTCGAGCGCCGTCGCGGGGCTCATCGCGCGCGGCGCCGTTCGAACAGTCGACTTCTCCATGCTCATCTCGCTATCTGTGCGCACCCTGAACCTCGGGCGCGGGAACAGCAGCGCGTCGCACCACGTCTCGGGGCTCAGCCATCTACTGCCCAGCCCTTTCTCTCGCTCCTCCTGTTCGCGAAGACGCTCACGTGCGGTTTGAGGTAAAGGCGGCATGCGCTCTTCGGTCGTGGGCGCGAGATGCACGCCCGAGCTGGACGCGGCGAGAGCGCGCAGGTTGGGCGTCGAGAGCGCCTTGAGCACGCTCGACGCGCGGTGCGGCCGCAGGTGCGCCGGGACCTTGTCCTTCCCCTTTCCCGACCCAACACTCCCATACGGCCCGGCATACCCCGTACCCGAGCCCGCAGCAAAAGCAAAGTCCTTCTGCCCCGGCCCGGGCGACAGCACAGGCGGCGCGCGGCGAGGGGTGGACTGCGCGCTCCCGCTGGCGGCGTACGGGTGCGTGTGGTTCGACGCGGGGCTCGCGCGCGATTTGTCGGGCGGGGGCGAGAGGGCCGAGTACCACGACTCGGTCATCGGGCTCTTCGCGCGCCGCGTCGCGTACTGCATTCCTCCTCCTCCTTCCTCCTTGATACCCTGCGGTGGAGGGTGTGGCGATAAATTGGGCGAGCGGAGTCCGCCGAGGAGATTGGCGAGGCTCATGCGGTTGGGCGTGTGCGGTGAGCCGCGCGGGGAGGGCCGTGGGGAGTGGGTCGGGTGTTCGCCGACGGCTGGGGAGCGCGATGGGGATAAGGCCGCGGAGAGGCGCCACGAGTCGCGGGTGTGGGGCTGCTTGACGACCGGCGAGGGAATGCTGTATGGGCCAACATACGGCGTGTACCTATTACCAGTCAGCACTTGGAAGCGGACTGCGAAGGATGAACAAGACAGACCAGTCATCGTCCGCGACGACGGTGGGAGGCGGCTGTGCGTTGGACGAGGACCGCGCGCGCAGACCGAGCAGACGCGAGAACGTATTCGACCGCTCCCGCGTCGGCGGCGAGGGCGAGCTGACAGCGGCCATGCTCGCTTCAATATTATATTAAGGTGACCCGAATTAAGGAGAGAGAGAGAGACAGGCGGGAAAGAGCGGGTTCAGCACGGGAGGGCGCGAGACATGGTGCGCGTTGCGAACAAGCCGCAGCGTGATGATGAGACGAGAGACGAGTCGCTAGAAGCACAGACAAACCATGGGCCAAAAGCAAATGTTATTATTGTTGCTTGATTTCGGGCTGTTCCTTGCCAACTAAGCCGACGTCACTCCGTTCTCTCGTACCTGTTCTCCACTTCTTCATTCAAACACGTCTACCGTCTACCGTCTACTTGACAGCTCTACGCGTTTCGCTGGGGCCGGCGCCGGCGGATGTATCCCTGGAGTACCCCTGAAAACCCGAAGAAAGGTTCGAGACTGAAAGCGGGGTTTGACGC